CGATTTCTCCCCTAATTATATCTCAATTAGTTGCCCCGATTACACCCCAGTGAGCCCCCGAACATGTCATATTATTATTTAAAATTAATTATTTAAAAATTATTTTGTTTAATATTTGCCTGATTTTATATATCACGTGTAGAACTCGTGATTTCTTTGTCCCAAAAAAGTATAAAAGGAAAGAGATTTTATAATTATAACGGCTTTTTAACTTTTTTTTTGTAAATATATATTAATATTCTAATTCCCCTTACTAAAATCTATGTTTAATTTTCTTAAACTTATAAATTCACACCTTAAAATATTTTTCATATAGAGAAGAGAAGAGAAGAGAAGAGAAGAGAGAGAGAAGAGAAGAGAAGAGAAGAGAAGAGAAGAGAAGAGAAGAGAAGAGAAGAGAAGAGAAGAGAAGAGAAGAGAAGAGAAGAGAAGAGAAGAGAAGAGAAGAGAAGAGAAGAGAAGAGAAGAGAAGAGAAGAGAAGAGAAGAGAATTTTCCTTTTTTTGTTAAATATATTATCAATATTCTTTAAAAGTAATGTATCTAATATTTTTTTATTTTCAAAAATCCCAAAAATTAAAATAATTATTTTATATATATTAAAAATATATATTTTATATTAAAAAAAAAAAATTATTGATTTTATAAAAAATAGTAATGGCTTATTGATTATAACAGGCCATCCTTGAGAAAAAAATTAATTCCCGTTATTCCCCACGTAAGAATTCTTCCATCTCAGTATCGATCAGCTCCAAATTTACTAGTTCATTACTTGTTGGATTCCTCCACGCATGCTGCCACTGGCATCGCTGTTTCTACCCTTTCTTCCGCTACGGTCGTCATTGACCGGGCCATGGGAATTGTTCGTACCGGCTGTCTATCATCTCTGCACTGCTCTTGTCTTCGAGTCCACGGGGCATCGATCTTGCAAGTGATCACTTGATTGACAGTAATAACAATTTCGTACCGGGTTTCGTCCTCTTCTTGTTAGAAAAGACTGCATCGCTGAAGGTTTAGTTCAGACATATTTTTGATTTACCGTCCCACTAGTATACACACTAATACGAATAATCAGGCCAGGTAAATATGTACATTTGTGGATAACCACTTCACAATTTATACTTTAACTTTTATATTTTCTTTAAATTATTGTCAAAATAAAAATTATTCCACACCAAAAAAAAATTATAATAAATTTTCGCAGCTCTTTTCACCAATTTATCCCATAAAACATTTATGAAAATAATTTTCTTAAAATAACTTTTAATCATCTCTTTTTATCTAAAATAAAACAATTATTTTGAAATAATTTTTTGAAAATAACCTTTAATCATCAATTTTTTTTTACCAATTTTATAATTAACGATCCTCACTACACCATGACAACCCATAATTATTTTTGCTTTTGAATTAGACAGCGCTCGTAAATTATATTTAGTTAATACAACTCTTTTTTTTTTAAAATTTTTTTGGCTAAGGATATCCCAAATTTGACGTTCCTTTCCTTATATTGAATTATACGCCACAATTTTTTGCTCACACGAACTTGTTCCTCTATTACTTTTATTTTATAACAATTTAAGTTAACCAACGGTATTAACCTTTAGACATACATATACTTTCTTTAACTCTTTTAATTACAAACACACATTGCAATAAGCTTTAATTTTAGCAGCTCTTATAACTGTATAAATTAAAGGTCAATAAAGATATACTTCTTTCAATGCACCACCTCTCCCCCTTTTCATATTATTTAAATTAAGATTTCCATTCACATTATTTTTATTTCACAATATTTTTATTTTTCTTTCAACACTTCGCAACAAGATCCTAGTCTTCCCTGTTCTATCACCCTCCGTACTTGATCTGAATGTCTTATACCCTCTCTTCCTTCCTCAAATTTAACATTACACAGTTTACTCCCCACATTCTTCACTATTATTCCAGACTCCCATAACTTTGTACTCTTATATATTTGAACCTACACTTTATGACCTATCAAAAATTCACAGGTCTTATTCATCACTTCTAAATCATTATTCTGTGTCATCTCTAACTCTACATTTGACATGGACTTCATTAAATTCAACAGTATGCGAGTACGGCGGCCCAAATATTTCTCCGCCGGAGATCTTTCCTCCCCTTTTCTGCTATTATTGAAATAAGAAACCGCTATTTATATTTCACCACCTCCATATTTAAACTTTGTTTTTCAACTCTTCACCACCGCCACAATTCTCTCCGCTTGCTTATTGAAGCTCGGATGATAGGGCGGGGCTAATATATGTTTTACCCCAGCTTCATCACAAAATGTTTTAAAACTCCTACTTATAAACCCTGGGCCCCAATCCGAAACGATTATTTTAACTTTTAAGGCTCATAGGTTCTTAAATGTTTCTAACACCACTTGGGTCGTTTACCATCTCACCTCTTCATATTCTACCCCTTCGAATAAGTACTAACCCTAAGTATATAAATTTTAATCTCAAAGAAAAAGTCAATATGGACACTCTCCCACGGTTGAGTAGCTTTAGGCCAAACACTTTCCTTATCACTACGGGGCAGGGCAAACAACTGGTTTATATATAACTAAAATAGATGTCTTCCAAGCAACGATTATAACATTAGCAATCTAGAGCAAGAATGTCATATTTAACTCAGCCAAAGCATACCAGAAGTGGATTGACTAAATTGATGGAGAAAAAAGTGACCAGAACTTTCTAGTCTTGCTAATTTAGTTAGGAAGGTTATTTTTATACCTGTAACCAGTACACTAAGCTAAAGAATTTTTTCTATAGCTGGATTAATACTCAATGCATTTATGTGCCACGAATCTTGATAAAATGCTATTTATTCATGACAATTATAATTTATCCAAATCTGATATCTAATTTATTATATTTATTACTTTATATTTTGTTTTGCATTCCAAATTTATATTTTAACTTGTTTTACAAATCAATTTCCAATATTACTAATATGTGTTGTTTGTGTGACTCTGATCTGAGTGAAAATGACATTCTTTAGTCCATTTCTGAGAATGAGAAAATACATAAATCTAAATAGGAGCGAGACAGGAATAATTCAAGAGCTGAACTAAACTATATTAACAATGATGGAATTAAGAGCACCCAAATATATTTTAAAAAAAACTAATTTTAAAAATCTATGAAATCCGCTGCCGTTAATTGAGGCTTCGGTGCATAGGTCCAGTTACAATTATTTTTAAGTGTTTTTTGTCATTGCAGAAAACATTTATAGACATAAATATCTCAAAATAACTATTGAGTGAATAATATAAAAGCAACTCTATATAATAATCATTTTTTCATAAATTTTTGCCCTGTAGATTTTCGACCGAATTAGGTGTTATGGATTTTACATTCTTTTTTCTTCAATATTTTATTTATTTTTATGATTTCCTTTTGATAAAATTGAGTAGAATTGTTCGTACAGACCTCTGACTCAATTTAGATATTTATTTTAAAATCATATTCTATTATTTATTAATTAAAAAAATAATTAAACCTTCTAAAATTTTGAAATTTTTTTTGGACCCAAGGTTAAATCTAGAACACTTGAATCTAACAATTAAAAAATAGATTCTAGGGAAGAGATTAACTCTAACCCTAACGAGACTTTGTTCTCGTGTGTTGTCTTGATAATTTTGTGAAAGCATATTTAGTTGATTAAGAATTGGAGAATTCCATCAAAGATTTTCAAAATTTTCTAAGTTTAGATAGAAATTGATAGCTTTTTATATAAAAATTTAATGTATATTATTTTATTTTTTTTAAATTCAACTTTACGTAAATTTATTATAAATTTTTTTAACAGATGATTTTTTCAATGGTCATTTATATCATTACTTAAATGCTTTTTTTTCTAATTAAATATTATCTGAGCATACGATTAAATACTTAACTCTTTATATAAAATATTTATTTTTCAAATTTAAAATATAAAAGTATGTAATAAAAAAATTTAAAAACAAGGAATTAGTATTAAAAAATCTCGATTTTTTTCCATTTTCAAAAAATAAGTCAAAATGAAAATATATATTTCCTTGGCCAAACCTTCTTGCGATCTACATGCAAAAATCTCAAGGCTTAGGCAATATTTGATTTCGCAATATTTTAAAAAAATATTAGCTAAATTTATGTTTTTACCCACACTACTTGGAATACCTATTTATTAAATTAATTAATCATTAAGACGAGATTAGTCAAGGACTATTAGATCGGAAATATCGTATTAAATCAGGAGATGGGGGGGAGGTTATAATTTTACAATTTATATTGAGAAATAAGCGTATGATTTTAGGATCACTATCAACTCTTGCTCAAAAGAAAATAAACGAGTTTTTTTTCCGCTGAATTTAGAAAATTTAAGATACTAATTTGTTAAATAACAATTACTCAAGGATTAAGCCAGTATAACTAGTTTCATTGTTGCTAGAACAGATACAAAAACATCTATTCTAATGGGGAAAAAATATGCTTGGTCAGCTGAGTTATATAGTGTTTTCTATATCCCCTTTTATAATTTTTAAGGACAGCAGTTTTCCAATAAATATTTCTTGTTATTGCAGACACGTGATAAAACCACAATAACGCAGTTAAAGAATTATTCAAATTTTATTTTTATTAGTGATATGAAAAAATAGAGTACTGAGGCCGTGTCCTAGGATCGATTTATTAATAAATAGTCAAAAAAAATATTTTTTTAAAAAAAATGAAAAAAAACAACCAAAAAAAAAGAATACGAAATGCTAACAGCTACATTTTTACTAATATTAGTATATGGTATATCATCAGCCGAGAATTATAGTGTTCTACATCCACTTTTTTAAAATTAATCTTCAGGCTGTGGCCTGTTTCACTTAATTTGTATACTTTATTGCATTCTAAGTATAGGCTAAAAAGCTTTTGAGCCAAGTCACCCTATTTTGGTTTGTGGTATTTTTATATTATATAACAAATAATTTATAAGCCTCTCTTTTGTTTGTTTATTTGAGCAAAATTAACATTTACAAAAAAATATATATATAATTTGAGAATAGAAATGGGGAGGGGGGGGGGGGTTATTGTGTGTAAATTTTCAAATGTTTACTATTTTGATATCAACCAAAAAAAAAATAATAATATGCAACAGATTGACTTTAGTTATTATTTATAAAAAAATGTGTAAAAATTTTTACTGAACATAATAAATGCATACCATGAAATATGAAGGCTATAAAAAAAAATTACACAAAATTGTAACTAAGTAATGATTAGAAGGAATATTTCAAAAAACGTAGGGTATAAGTCTGTAAGGCACAATCTCGCAATACTGATCCCAATATTTTCCGTATTTACTCTTGCATTTCTCTTCGTCCCTGTATATGCGATTGATGAGGAGGGTGAACATGAAAATGAGATAAAAGTAAGGATAAAAGTTTTTGGTCATGGATCCGCAAGCCAAACACATACAAGTCGCGAGTAATAAATCGCCGGTATAATTGAAATGCCGGGCCAGGCCCCAAAATCCGGAGAAGAGTAAGGCCGACGTATGTTTTTTGCCGTCCGCGGTCAAGTAATTAGCGACGATCATGGAGGCCGGTTTTTTTGAGCGAAAGACTCCGAAATAACTTACGCGGTAACCCATACTTTTATCTGAATTATATTTTATAAAAAAAAACATTATGGCGCTTCGATTCTTTGCCGACATTAAAATGGCCTGAGGAGGAGTTGGTGCTAATAAAATAGGCCTACGATAGGTGATTCAATTTTAAATCATCCGATAACGCTTCCTTAAAATAATATTATTTTTTATGATATACACATATGTTTAGTAGGCATAAAAAAAAATTAGCCGCCAATCCCGTGCCAGTTCCTAAATATACACATTTATAATTAGGTATTTTAATATCGACAAAAATATTAGAAATATTCGGATTGTGTAAAGAGGTCGAGTTTATTATGGGAATCAGGTTGATGGGAAATACTATTTAAATAAAAATTCCTTCCTTCCCCCCCCCCAAACTAACGTGAATTAAAATAGTCATTGTTAAACCGGCCCGATCAATCAAGATTTTTATTTTGGCTAAAATCTTAATCGGGTACCATTTTTAAAAATAGACCCAAATCGGGTCGCTTTAATTACACTAGTTAAAAAGTATCGTGCAAAAAAAATAAAATAACTTTTTGCTTTCAAAGACTGTCTAAAACCGTCCTTCTGGTTGTTAGCCGTCCTAAATATACCATACCCGACGAGTCCGATCACGAGCAACGCCCAGAATTTGTAAGGGCCTAAATGGACGAAAGTTCTCGACAAGTAGTAGCCCTGGACGGTGTACATAAAGGGTAACCATACTAAATCCCCCCAGGCCAAATAAAAGCCGAAATGGTCGTGGGCGATGTCCAAAGTTCTGAGGTACCAGTCCTCATTGAAGAATAAATCCAGCGCATAAATTCCTTGTAGCAGAGTTACTATTATCATGGAGTCGGAGACTGACCCAAATTTTCTATGTTGGTATGCGGCGAATGATACGTTTATCATGGTCCAGGCAACAATTCCAGGCCTGCCATTGTGAAACAGTTTAAGGTCAAAAGTTTTACCTATCCTGGGGTTAAGTTCAATCCCCATGTAGAAGTCATAAGGAGTTGATTCCGAAAATTTTCGGTCTTCAGGATGGGAAGGATTTACGTGGGCCTTGAGGAAGACTAATAAGGAAATGGAGTAAGCCAATATATTCGAACCCACCAGCAGACCTCCCCAATGATCGCTGATGAAAGTCAGGGAAAACATTGTAGGGTTGAAGTAATATAATCCGAAAAAAAGGAGGTGACTAATTGTCCAGGCCAAAAGCCCATTGATCTTGTAGGTCAGTAGATTGCCAGCAGGGGTTAATTGACTTGTGGTTAACTTTCCTGGTAAGAAAGCATATAGCAGGGCTTGAAAAATGTACCACCCAATTATCACTGAAAACGATAAGGCATCAAAATGTGGACAATATTTATGGTAAAAATAGCGTGGCCCATATTTGGATAACATTAAGGTGGGAGAAATAATGCTGCAGTTGAAATTGGCACAGCTAGTCCAATAATATACAACAAGCAAAGGGCAAAATATTAAAATCATCAGTGTCGTAGTCAGAGTAATATATTTTTCTGTCTTATTTTTAGACTTAAAATGTCTGCCCCAAGTTAAGTTAGGTTTTGACAAATCATGATTAGATTTATTTTGAGAATATTTTTTCCCTGCATCTTGCGGAGAACCATCACCCAAATGGTCATCCAATAAAGGTTGACGTAGCATGTTTCTTTGTAATGGATTTGAAATAAATAAAATACTAAAGGATCAGTTGATATAATTTAGGAGCAGAATTTATATTTTAAAATTTTTTTTAGAGATATACTAATACCATCTTTTTATATCCCTATTAACAACTTTTTAAATATAATAATGACTTAATTTAAGTTAGAAAGGATAAGAATTATCTAATAGCACTCATTGTTAAATGATAATTCATTGTAAAAATTCAGACGCTCATGTTATATTATTATTTGTGGTTGATAATAATAATCACAAATAATTTGTGATGATTTAGAAATTTTTCAGTAACAAGATGAATTAGCATGTAAAAAGTATTAAGATGCCTCAATCTACAAAACATACACCCAATACTGATAGTTAGTGTTAAAAGCATTTGGGTCAATTTTTAAAATGGCCCGATTAAGATTTTAACTAAAATAATATTATGTAAGCATTGAGATTTGTCAAATAGATGTCCAAGCATTTTTGCCAGCTATGAGGAAAATCTTTAGGCTTACATAATGTTATTTTTTATAATCTTAGATTGGGCCGTTTTTTTAAATCATCCCAAATCAGGCTTTTTAACAACTCTAATGATAGTGTTAATATCCAATTATTCTTTTAATTTAAATTAATTATAGTTGATAAACAAATAAAAATAATACTAATATTATATTTTTGCTTTTTAAAAATGAGTGTACATTTTTAATTGGTAATATTAGTGAATACTATCTTAATAATAGTGCATTTCAGCCTAAAATGAAATCATGTTCTGTTAAATGTTTATATAACAGGTTTATTAATCTCTAGTTTTTCTAAAAGCTTATAAAAAAAATTTAATAGCCTAGTAGAGTAAAGTGATTATTTAGTAGATCAGTAACCTGTAATTTTGAAAATATAAAGAGTGCATTAAATAAAGACTTTAACTTAAATAATTTATTATACCTTGTTAAATAATTTTATTTAACTCAAGTAGAATATTAATAGATGGTTTATAAAACATGAAGAAATAGTTAAACAATAAAAGTTATGGTACAGAATAGTTTACTGCAACCTTAGTAAAAAAAAAGCATTAAATATTCTTTGATTTTTAATTCTACCTCTCTCTTTATAATTTATCATGTACCAAACTATATTTCAAATGAATAGTTATAATAAAATGAAAAAATAAGTTTAAAAAATTGATTATATGAAATTTCATATATATATATTTATAAAAGGAAAAACTATTTGTACACATCATTATAAGTATATTAATAAAAATGCATTAATATACATTATTCAATGAATACCTACACTACAAAATAACTCGGTGAATTTCAAAAATGTGGTACTTTTGATCAAATATTTTATTTATTTCGACAAATGCTATAAATATGGTGAAAAGATAAGATGATTAAAAATACCATATGTTTTTACCAATGACATATATATGTCATTTTTTTACCTATATTAATTTCCCAATGGCATTGTTATTTCCATCTTAATAGCGAAATTAAAAAAGGTATTATAATTTTTCAATTTATCTTTTACTATTATTCCATGATCTTAGAAACCAATAAGAGGGTTTTTTATAAATTATATCGTAGGCGCATATATAGGAGAGTAGGAGCGAGGGAGTGGGTGATGTGATAATATCTCCGAAAAAATGTTTGTGTAGTAATGACCTTTAAGATAATTTTTATTATATTAATCTAATTTTTTCTTAAATTTCTATAAATGAAGATATAAAACTATTCATTAAATTATGTTTTGCTGTTTTTGTTTCTTTTGTAAAGCAGTGTTATGCATTGCGCTGTCTATTGAATATTAACCCCTCATAGACATCTCTATACATTATTTAGAAGAGTTTACAAATATCATATGGTAAAATACTTAAAAAATTTGTATAATTATAATTTTTGGCATTATCTCGTTAAGTCTAAAATTTAAAAAAATATATTACAGATCTTTTAAAGCAATCGTGTATGAAGGAATGGTATAAATAAGTTTATTTTTTTTAAAATCTCACATTATATATATTGGCTTAAAACCCAAAATTTGCCGAAAAAGTTACTTAATTATTTTATCTTTATTCAATTATCCTAATAATTTTTTAATAAATTTTAATATTTTTTTTGAAACCTAGTACCTTTGAATCCCTTATTATTAAAGAGTCCTGGTTTGGGTTCAGACATAATACTAGAGTTCAAGGTCGGGGCTCAGATTCCTTTAGAATTTGCTTCCATCATGTATATTTATTTTAACGTTATAAAAATGATATTCACTTTTTTTAACAGGTCATATTAATATTAATTTTTTTTAGAAAAATTTCAAGAGAAGCAATGCTTCCTATGCTTTTATGGACGTTTCATCACTGGTATTTTATCAATATAATTTCCAAAATTTAGACAGGAGTTGCAATTTATTATAAAAATAAGTGATAAACGCTTAAACTTTGGAGTTATAGGTATTTTAAAATTTTATATTGTTAACGATTAATAAATTTTTAACACAAAGTTATAATTATTGAATGTATTGCATATATATCAGGTCATAATCTTCTATTTTAAAACAAAAATATAAAGACAAAATTAATATTGTTATTAATCAAGATTACTAAGTAATGATGTAATCCTAATTTATTAATCTATGAGTTATAAATATCCTTGACATTAGCATTTTATTACCATATTTCTTACAAAAAATATGGATATAGAATAAAATTGATGTTGTTAAACGGCTCTATTTTAGCTGATTTTTGAAACATTTCAACTCAATATTGTAGACAGATCTTAGCCTCATAGATGTTAAAACTTTTGTGCTATCTAGGAAAATTAATTGTATAATATTTTTCTGGATATCATATTGAGTTGGCCCTTAATAAAAATAGAATCAAATCGAGCCATTTAACAATACTAAGTAAAATAATATTATTAATATTTATAAACATATAAAATCAAGTTTTATTAGATAGATAGTTACCATTTCTTTTAAAATAAATATTTCCACATCTCTCACTAGTATTATAATAAATTTGCTTGAATCAATATAAGGAGTTTGCAATAAAACCTAATTTTAACATCATTCTTCTACTTGAAATTTGCTTTCTGTTTGAAGTAGTTATTTATAGCAAAATACTTTCTGATCGAAGCTTAAGACTTGGGAGTTAATATCGAAATGCAATAAAAAATAAATAAATTATATAATATATTTGAATTTATTCATATCATTTGTGGAAACAGAGATAAGGCTATACTTTTTTTTAATAAAATTGCGGAAGAGATAGCGCGCTACTTTTAAAAGTAGCGTTTAACAACACTGACTATTGATAATGTTGTATTTAATGAATAATTGCTTAATATTAGGAAAATATTTAAGGCGAAATCTGTACACCCAAAGTTTATCATGGTTGTTTTACATTTTAAATTTTCTTTATTAATTAATATTTTTATTTTAAGATAAAATTTTAAATAACATATGATTTAATTAATTTAATCGAATAATAAAAAATTTATATATCCTTTTTTTATATTAAAAAGTAAAAATAGAGAATTAACTATTTTAAGATAAAAAGTATTGATTTTTTTTTGATATTGATACATAAAATTACTAAGATGAGGATACATTAAAATTTTAAATGGATCGTATATAACTTTCGATACATCTAAATGTATCGGATAGGATATAAAATCCGCCACTTTAAAAACTATGCTATTTGCACATAAAATATACTATCATGGATAAGCAATCATTTTTATAGAATCTGGATTTGATAAAGCCAAGGAAAAAAAACATTTACATCAAACATATACCTTTTTATTTTTAATTAAACTTTCATATTTTTCAATAAGATACGATATTATTTTAAATATTATAAACGATTAGTTATTTTCAAAAAATAAAATTTTTTATAAATAAACATGGAAGATCAAATCAATAAAAAATGACTTTAAAATATCAATTACAAAATATTTTTATTCTTCATAAACCATATAAAAGGATTTACTCTTTTATATATATATAAAAATACCAAAAAGTAATTGTTGCACATAATTAAAGGGAATTTTTAAATATTCATTCTAAATTATATAACGAACAATAAGGGCAATTTTTGGTCTTAGATTTATTGAATTCAAAGCTATTTTTTTGTGAAGAAGTTGTTTTTTTCATCAGAAAGGAATGTATATGTAAAAAAGATGTAATCAAATATTTTCGTTAAACTAAACAAGTTTAAAATTTTACATTTATAATATATAAATAATTTGAAGGGTGAGAAGAATAAAAATGACGACAGTAATTATTCCTTTTTTTAATTTGACATTGGTTTTCCAGTCAAATCATTTTTTATTACTTCCGCTTTTAAATTTTATCTCAGATCCCCTTCATCGCTGATGGTCCGTTTAAGTTTTAGCAACAAGGAAGTGGTCCATTGGTCGAGCCTGGATATCGAGTCATAATTTTTAACGGTTTCGGTGAAACCTTCCGAATTTTGATCGGTCAAATTTTGAAGGAGTGCTTTAATAATAAAAGAAAAAGTTATGATTAGAGACTACCAAAAAAAAATCAAAGGAAGCTTCATCAATATTATCACGTTACTTATTTTTTTTTAGCTAATCTCAAATAAAGTTTATGTTCCACGTGGATTAAAAAAAGGAAGCGGGCGTTCACTTTTTACCTTTCAAAAACTTGCACTCCCTACTATCGCTAAAAGCTGGATACAATTGCTCGTATCTCTCCAGAGCTTGTTCCCCGTTGAGCGGGTCTATGCATAGATGGCACAGGGCTGCCTTATAGAAATGATCTTTAACGCTATATTTAAGCAGGGAATTATCCATGGAATTCATGGCCACCTTATAAATTTTATGAAATAATTTTTTACTATTTAATTTGTATTTAATAATTATCATCCAAACATTAAATATCGATATACCATTAAATATCGTTATAAAATAGTGTCATTTTTATTTTTGTAATTGTAATAAAATGGTATCATTTTACGTTGGGAAATCAAAAATAAAATATTTTATGGGGGGGGGGGGGGGTGTAGATAATTCCTAGTGAGAGAGGCTGATTGAGCGCCCTGAGTTTTTTTTTTTTACAAAATAAATATAATATATATTTTTAAAAAAATAGTCGTTTTTTGAATAACAGCTGTGGTTAAGAGGGTTAGAGATATTGGCACTATGGAGTAAAGCATAATAGGTCACTGATTGAATTAGCAGCTGAACCTATTTATAAAACCACTTTTGGAGGAGATTAAGGTGGGTTCAAAATGAATGAGGTAGACATGATAAAATATGGCCTCTTTAGCAACTCGTTGTATGGTAACCGAAGCGTCCTCCATCACAAAAGCCCTTATGGTGACTAATCTGAATTCTATTCGGTGATGATATCCCTTTGCCCCTTTATATAAAATATTTTGTTATGTCTCCTGATATAGGTGAGGGGTCGAGTATAAGAGTTATGAAATGGGTGGGAGGTTTTTAGCCTGCTCGCTCATTCTATGGAAGGGCTGCTAAAATATTTTCAAACATCGAGCGGATTGACCGAATGAGTTAGAAAATATTTTTAAAACGATGGGCGGGAATGTGACAAATAGCGCGGCTTGTTCTAATGACCTGGCAAAAAAAAGAATTATAAACATTTTCCAACTCCACCATTTTCCATATAAATTCTTTCAAAAAAATTAATTCGAACCATTTTAAAAGTCTTAAAAAAACGTTTTAATGAAATTCCAAGTTTGCGTGAGATGCCCGACCCGGCCCGCAATTTTTTTAGCCCGTTCCATTCGCAACGCAGATAATTTTTTAAATATAATAATAATCAATAATTATTAGATATGTACCAGATTCTAATCTTCCCTCTATAGGTCTGGGCAGTTCTTTTAAAATAGTTGGATCTCAACTGGTTTACCACATTTATTTGAAGTGCTTTAACCCTTTAATGGTCACATTTTTCCCAGCCGATAAATTTTTTTATTTATTTTAGTCTTAAGAAACCTAAAATCGGCACGAAAAAAAATCATCCTAAATAGGAAATCTGAACCGTTGCATATCTGCAACGTAAATTATATTATTGGAAAAAATCATAATATGATAGATATTTTCAAAATTTATTTACATATTTTACATTTATAATATACAATGTTGTAATTTTTATATTTTATTTTTTTAAAAAATCAATATATATTGGTATTTGACACATGTTACATATATATATATATCTTGTCTGACTATGCCAAAGCTTACAACTAGTGTTGCGTAATCGGCTAATTTTAGCCGACTAAAAACGGCTTAGCCGAGATTTTAGGTGGAAAAATCGGCTAAGCCTAATTAGGTATAGCCTAAAAATCGGCTAAGCCTAATTAGGCTAAGCCTACAAATCGGCTAAGCCTAATTAGGCTAAGCCTAAAAATCGGCTAAACCTAATTAGGCTAAGCCTAAAAATCGGCTAAGCCTAAAAATCGGCTAAGCCTAAAAATCGGCTAAGCCTAAAAATTGGCTAAGCCTAAAAATCGGCTAAACCTAAAAATTGGCTAAGCCTAAAAATGGGCTAAGCCTAAAAATTGGCTAAAATAAATTAGTCAAAATTCTGCATCGATGCTTAGCATTAATTATTATTTATTTATTTTAGTAAAATAATTTATTTTATTTATATTTAATGTAAATATTTTATTATTATCAACAAATAAACATGATATGATTTAATATTTTTTATTTATATTAATAAAAAAAATAATATGCTGCTATATTGTAAAAATGTAATATTCTTTATAATATAATTTATTAGTGATTTTCACAATCTTCTTTGTAAATACATCTTTTATTGAGGAATTATATTGTAAATTTTATTAGATAAATAAACAATCTTTTAGGTGAAATCTTTTATCATTTTTTTAAAATTATCTATTTATTATTAAATAAGGTGGATTTTATGAAACTTTTTTGATGTTATTTTATATGATCTTTTTAAGGATAATATTTTAATGTGACAATTGTCATAATCGTTCTTTTATAAGTTTTTTGTTTTTTGAAGGAAGTATGTTAAAATAAGTATTAATAACATGTGTAAATACAAATTTAGTGAAGATGTACCAATGAAAAGTGACAATTGTCATAATCGTTATTTTTAAAGTTTTTCGAATTTTTTTGACGAAAATATGTTAAAATAAGAATTAATAACATGTGTAAATATAAATTTAGTGAAGATGTACCAATGAAAAGTGACAATTGTCATAATGGTTAATTTTAAAGTTTTTTGAATTTTTTTGACGAAAATTTGTTAAAATAAGTATTAATAATATGTGTAAATATAAATTTAGTGAAGATGTACCATAGAAAAGTCACAATTGTCATAATCGTTATTTTTAAAGTTTTTTGAATTTTTTTGACGAAAATATGTTAAAATAAGTATTAATAACATGTGTAAATATAAATTTAGTGAAGATGTACCAATGAAAAGTAACAATTGTCATAATCGCTATTTTTAAAGTTTTTTGAATTTTTTTGACGAAAATATGTTAAAATAAGTATTAATAACATGTGTAAATATAAATTTAGTGAAGATGTACCATAGAAAAGTGACAATTGTCATAATCGTTATTTTTAAAGTTTTTTGAATTTTTTTGACGAAAATATGTTAAAATAAGTATTAATAACATGTGTAAATATAAATTTAGTGAAGATGTACCATAGAAAACTGACAATTGTCATAATCGTTATTTTTAAAGTTTTTTGAATTTTATTGACAAAGATATTTTAAAATAAGTATTGATAACATGTTTAAATAAAAATTTAGTGAAGATGTACTCTAGATAAGCGACAATTGTCATAATCGTTATTTTTAAAGTTTTTTGATTTTTTTTGACGAAAATAGTTAACTTGCATCGATATTGATTTTAAAATAGAAAAAAAAGTTTATCCAAATTTTAAACAAGATTGTCTGGTGAAAATTGGTAAAAAAATAATAATTTCTAACTTAGGATTAGATATTATGATATAAATTTTGCATATTAATTTCTGACCCGATGAACAAATGTAATGAAATACCAATTTGCTCCTGTTTTTGGGGAAGAATCTATTATTACCATATGTTTTTCTATGGCATAATACTCAGGCAATTTTAATTTTACAATCTATATTTTTACCCATTTACATCAAAGAAATTTTAAAAATAACGATTATGACAATTGTCACTTTTCTATAGTACATCTTAACTAAATTTTTATTTAAACATGTTATTATTACTCATTTTAACATATTTTCGTCAACAAAAATCAAAAAACTTGAAAAATAATGATTATGACATTTGTCGCTTATCTAGAGTACATCTTCATTAAATTTTTATTTAAACATGTTATATATACATATTTTAAAATATTTTCGTCAAAAAAATTCAAAAAACTTTAAGAATAACGATTATGACAATTGTCACTTTTCATTGGTACATCTTCACTAAATTTATATTTACACATGTTATTAATACTTATTTTAACATATTTTCGTCAAAAAAATTTAAAAAATAACGAATATGACAATTGTCACTTTTCATTGTCTTCACTAAATTTATATTTACACATGTTATTAATACTTATTTTAACATATTTTCGTCAAAAAAATTCAAAAAACTTTAAAAATAACCATTATGACAATGTCAATTTTCTATGGTACATCTTCACTAAATTTTATTTAAACATGTTATCAATACTTATTTTAACATATTTTCTTCAAAAAAATTCAAAAAACTTATAAAATAACGATTATGACAATTGTCAATTTTCTATGGTACATCTTCACTAAATTTTTATTTAAACATGTTATTAATACTTATTTTAACATATTGTCGTCAAAAAAATTCAAAAAACTTTAAAAATAACGATTATGACAATTGTCACTTTTCTTTGGTACATCTTCACTAAATTTATATTTACACATGTTATTAATACTTATTTTAACCTATTTTATTTAAAAAAATTCAAAAAACTTATAAAATAACGATTATGACAATTGTCACATTAAAATATTATCCATAAAAAGATCATATAAAATCATCAAAAAAGTTTCATAAAATCCACCTCATTTAATAAAAAAGATAATTTAAAAAAAATGATAAAAAAATTATAAAAGATTTTACCTAAAAGATTGTTTATTTATCTAATAAAATTTACAATATAATTCCTCAATAAAAGATGTATTTATAAAGATGATTGTGAAAATCACTAATAAATTATATTAAAAAGAATATTACAATTTTACAATATAGCAGCATATTATTTTTTTTATTAAAATAACATCAAATAAATAAATTTATTTTCATTTGAAAATATAATAATATAAATAAAAAATATTAAATCATATCATGTTTATTTGTTGATAATAATAAAATATTTACATTAAATATAAATAAAATAAATTATTTTACTAAAATAAATAATAATTAATACTAAGCATCGATGCAGAATTTTGACTAATTTTTAGCAGATTTATATAGGCTTAGCCGATTTTTAGGCTTAGCCTAATTAGGCTTAGCCGATTTTTAGGCTTAGCCTTATTAGGCTTAGGCGTAGTTTTTAGCCGATTACGCAACACTACTTACAACGTCGCCTTTAGTTATCGATAATAGTTGTAACATACTGTATACATATAAATTTACAGGTGTTTCACTTAGTGAGGAAAATTGACTAGCTCACAAGTGTCGTAGTTATTTCCCGCCAAAATGTTAGTAATGATTTTTTTATCATCAGGATTCACTCGATTCCATAACTTCCATAAATTTACTACTACTACTACGTCGTCAAAAAAATTGTTAAAGATAGACAACCACCATTTTTTTACCTCATATATTTATTCTATATGTTGACACTAGGTTATCGTACAAATCAACGCCACCCATATGGGAATCAAATGAATTTATAAGATTAGATTGTGTAATTTTTATTTTTGAGAAAATCTTTCGAGAGAATCTTGATAAGTTGAGCTTTACATGGTGATGCAACGGTCACCACTTTACTATCATTCCATCAAACTACAAATATTTCATATTTCTTTTCAAATCAATAGTCGTAATAACCCCTCTCTTTTTTTTGCCAATTGTTTCTAGGGAATTTTCAATTCTATTATCTCTTATAGTTCCAGTTGCGAAAAATCTAAGATACTTCAAATGAGATAAATGCCTTAGAGATGTTAAATAAAATTATCGAAGTAGATAAAATGTAAAGAAGAGACTTGAACAAATTTGACTAAATTTGCAACAACCGTACCTCCTAATCCAAAATTTGAAGCCATTGGGGTTTTATTTTTACTTTGATATATATATTAAATGCAAATTATATCCATCGGAGGAAACAAGAATCCATGATTTATATTCAAATTGAATGGGTTTACCTTTGATAAACATTTTACAGGAAAGTCTTCCTCGATATGGTATCATTTGCTCATCTATGCATAAATTATATAAAAATATACCAAATTGTTGAAACTTTTTATTTAGTAAATTTAAATATGGGCGGACTTTATAAAGATTATACTGTTCATCAAGAGTTGATATTAGATAAATGTAAATTCGTTTTGACATGCTAAATGTATGTTGTGTCATTGAATTCATAATGATTGGTATAGTAATATCATTGTCATATGACCAATACCTTCTTTCTTGCAAAAGAATGATATCCAGTCAGCCAAAGAATTCCTATAAATATCTTCATCTCTGACTGAGTTGAATAGGTCTATTGTTTTGTTTGGAATAAATATGTGATTGATCCGCAAGCAGTGAATACATTTCTTTTTCTATTGGAGTTTATCCGATAATATCAAATTGAAGATTTGATAATAATTCCTTAACATTATCAGTGGTTCTAGATTTGTAAATTGGATCAATTTTTCTACATTTTAAATTATTTCAAATGATTTATACAAATTGAGGATTCTGTGACAATATCAATGTCTGTTAGATAATGGATTTCAATATCCCCTGCAGTAACTAGTGGAAGATTAGGTGTGTCTATAAGATCGTTTTCATCAAAATCTTCTTCATCACTAATTAAAGCAGCATTATGAGGTATAATTGCAACATCTATCTCATCACCAGAGCCTTCATTGGTATTCAAATAAAAAAAAAATTAATGAGAATTATATTAAAATTATGAATTTTCTGGATTTTTTTTTATATTAAAAATATTATGGTGAAAATATAGTATTTTTGTTTAGTAAGAATATAAACAAAAATTTTAATAAAATATCAAATTTTTTCAAACAATTCTTTTAAAAAAATTACTTTTTTTGAACCCTTATGTGGTTAATGTTGCGTAAAAACATATGATCATAAATCCGAAAATAGATAGAATGATGGGCAAAAATTAACCAGATTAGGTTAAGGCATCTATAAGGAATTAATTTATGTCAATTACATTTAATAGGAATAAATACTCTTTCAATGAGGGAGAACATATGGCATTTTAGTAGTACAAAATTGTTGAACTTCAATGGCATCAAGCATACTCAAAAATAAACATTTTTTAAAAAATGTTTTTTATATTATAATCCAATCTTTGTACTATAGGAATTATATATGAAATTATTTCAATTCAAAAAATTTATATCTGAAAAATAATAAATAACAACTGTTGAAGATATGTTATGTTGACAATTCATGTGCTAATTATATTTTGATGGTTCTAATAAATTCAAAAATATTTTTATTGAATTAAATTTGCATTTCATATAAGATTTAGTTAATATTTTTTTCTTAATAAACAAATTTTAGAATCTGGTACTAGAACTGCTAGTTGTGAAAAAATTGGACCCATTGTATCTCTAATATGTATATATATTATAAAAATATTTTAACCTGTTCATATATCTTGATTGCTTTATTATAGTTATCCCGTTCAGCTTCAAGTCCTGCTACTATTAAGGAATATTTATTAGCAGCACTAATTTTTATATAAATTAATTCCATATCAAAAAATAAATATTAACCTATTAGATTCTTCACCCCTAAAATAATCAGCTGCTTGTTCATAATGTTGAATAGCTTTGTTTATGTCTTTTAGTTCATTTTCATAAATTTCTGCTAAATTAGCATGGTATTTAGCTGCAATAGTAAATCTCCCTAAATCTGTATATATATCAATGGCTTTCAGTAAGCATTTGACAGCATCTTGATAGAGGGAAAATATAAGGTATTTAATTATATAAAAACCTTGGTGGTCAGATTTTTTAAAACAATTAGCACCCTCATAATATTTATTAGCACTTTCATGTTTATTACCCATAGATCCATGAATTTCAGCAGACTTAACAAAAGCCTTTCCAGCAGCTATTCAACCAACTATTTGTAAATATATATATTATAATATTTTAATACCTGTCCAATTTTTGGCTATTTTAAAATTATTGGCTGCCTTTTCAAAACATTCACAGGCAGAATCTAAAGTTGCTGATTCCTTTCTGAGTAAATAATAAATAATATTTATAGTAATTACATGTACCCAAACATTGAGCTTAAAATGCCTTTCGAAGAATGACATTTCTTTTCTCCTTCAGCCATAAAATTTAAAGCTTTTTGCTCGCTATCTCCCATTTTTTTTAAAGTTTAACCCGACATTTAAACAGCTGAGCTGATATATATACATTTTAGAAAATTCATGCTAAACAACGCTCTTTGGTATAAAAAAATGGTTAATCCCAAAATTTATATTATCACAAATCTATAATATTTCTTTCTTTTAATCAGTTGCATATAAATGCGCTTGGAGCCTCCCTGTGGTAAAATCAAGCCTTCTATGGCTGCATATGTTAGATATTAAAAATAAAAATATTTATTTAAAGAATTTAGAATCATAATTCAGGTATCAAGGTTTTTAAATAGCTCATTAACTTTATATTTTACAATTCTTAATATTTGCAATTGTTAAACTCTTATTTTGTCTTTATATAACTTATTCTGATTTAATTTGTTAATATAATAACTATATTGGTGAATCAATCATTATATGAATGTAAGTGTTTACATAGGAGTCAGCTGTAACGTCATCATTATATTAATGTAAGTGTTTACATAGGAGTCAGCTGTAACGTCATTTGTGGTTTGCACGCTTAATAAATTACATTAATATGCATTCATATAATGATAAATAGGATCCCTTCTCACCCCTTTGTTATTACTTACCCTTCAGAAGCTTAACTTCGACCTATCAAATCAAGGTTATAAAAGGACCTCTAGCATGTTGACTGCAATTGGCAAATTATCAATTTATAAATTAGGCCTTTTGTTAGGTTTTTCGAAGATTTATTACAAATTTAAATTGAATAGAATGTAAATAGTATCAATCTATATTCGCATAAAAGCCTAATATTATTTTGCAATAGTATCAATCAATATTCGCATAAAATCCTGATATTATGTATTTAAAACAATAAAGAAAACTCTAAAATAAATGGTTAAATAATAATAAAAATGAAGTAATCTCTATAATGAAAAGAAGTATTTTGAATGATATCTAGATTGGTATATGGCGATTGTCAATTTAAATTTTATAAATATATATTTAATTCATTGTTTTCAATTGCATATTTAAATATAAAAGACTAGGGCCTAAAAATATATATATATGGGCCATTCTAGAAAATCGAAGTCTTGAACTGAAAATAGAATTTATAGGATAATCTACTTGATATGAGTACATTTATGTTTCTTTCCTGAATGCTTAGGCTTATTTTTTTAATCAAGTTGGGTCTTAAATACATTCAAAAATATTTCACAGAAATTAATTAGAAATAAAGTCTCTTCATGTGATATGGTGAATCTAAATATTATGAAGTATTGCGTGAACAATATTTTTAAATGCATATATATCCAGTGTCGACGGGAGGGTGGGTAGGAGATAAATGTCTTTAAAATATATTGGCATTTTGGAGGGTTAGAGATTTTTGCGGGTTAAAATTTTTTGATGGGGTAAGCATTAATTTTTGGGGGTAGTTTTTGACTTGAATTATATTCTTTTTAAATTCAATAATTTAAACGACTGAACTGTCAATTAACAAATTATAAAAATTAATAAATTTTTTCTTTTTAAATTTTAAGCCTTTTTATTTATTTTTTTACCATAATATTTTACAATTTCACACGTAAAGTATTAATATTATTCTTATTTGTTAATTTTCTAAAAGTTTTGAGGGTAACATTTATGATTAATTTTAATAATAAATTTCAGTAAGAATATAATATAGCAAAATACTTTAAATACAAAGAAATTTTTATTCTTAGTTAGATTATATTTAAGAAAAATATAGTAACTAGTATAAGAGCAGAGTAAGATAGTTTATCAAATACATAGACAAGCAAAGTGTTACCATGTCTTTCACGTTCAGATTGAAAACACAGGGAATATATCTACAGATATCAAAAAATTTGAAAGAAATAAAAGAATCACGTGAGGATAAGTAAATGCAAGTACAAGTGAAATACAGCTAAATTATAAATGTGATGTTATCGAAAGAGATAACTGATAATTTAAATTTAAGAGAAATCAAGAAATTAAAGGGATTTCAAGAAATATTTCCGATGAGATGCATATATTATAAAATAAGTTAGTGATAATTGTACTAATTGTGGCCGACAAAGTCATATTAAAAAGAATTGCTTTTCTAGGAATGGAAAAATTATGGAAATTTACAGCACAAACAATTGATAAAGATAATACGGTTTGTCATCGATGTGAATTTTTAGAACATATAAAAAGAAACTGCTTTGTAAATAGTGTTGTTAAACGGCTCTTTTGAGCCGATTTTTAAAAACGACAAACTCAATATTTCATCCTGGACGCCTGAAGATATTGTTTGTAGAAGGAACAAGGGGTTTGCATCTATCAGCAAAATCTCAAGGCTTAGGCAATATTTCTCTGGTTAAAATAAGTTAGCTTTTAAAAATCGGCTCAAAACGAGCCGTTTAACAACACTATTTATAAAAGAAGAAATTTCAAAAATGATTTTCATAGATCACCAGTATTGATAAAACCAGCGTTTCGAAATATAAATATTATCTTAGATCTAAGTGAAATGGATGTATGTAATACAGATAGTGCCTGAATGTGGTTCAGATATGAAAAAATGGGTCGTATTGCTATGAATTGTGTTAAATCATTGCAGTGATTATATGATTTGCAAGAGAATCATAAAAAGGTAGAGAGACCATATATATATAACAATAAATTTTTTAATACATATAGTTTTGTAAAAAAAATTTTGTATATATTTAATAAAAAAAGAAAATTGCATAAAATGATAGTTCTAAATCGAATCTTAACTCAAATAAACCGAGTTGCAGGGTTGAAAATTATTATTGTCACATTGATGAAATAAACAATTTTAAATTTATCAATAATCTGAATAAAAAGTATTATAGTAATAAAAAAGGTGAGAAATATCCATTGGAAATTTATAATAAAAATATCAAAGATACTCAGAGGCCTCTAAATTTAGTGAAGAATTTGAGCATGAATATTAATTAAATGAAAATTCAAATATAATAAATATAATTCAGCCGATTAGAATATATAAAATTCTAGACTGAAAGAGACGATATGCAATATTCATGTCCTAGTGTTAATTTGAAAATGGGTAAGCAAAATATTGAAATGTTATTTGATACAGGTGCAAGCATTTTAATAATGTCCAGGAAAAATTATTATAAATATTGGCCTGAAAGCATACTCAAAAAAAACATATGTGTGTCAGACAATTCGATGGGTCATAAATTGCGGCTTTGTATAAAACCAAATAGGGAGTGATTCTTAATTATAGAACATGTATTCTTGATTTATGGGTGGTAGAATAAAATGTTGAAACTATAATGGGTTGGGATTGGATTACCAAACTTAGTCCTCCTAATAATTATTGGTATATTTTTATAATAAATAGTGATTTGGCAGGCGATAATGGAATGAAAAATAATTTTAGATAACATTCAAAATAAAATCCATGAAATGGAGATGACGGATATAATGAGAGATGAAGTCCTTATTAATTAGGATATTTATGAAATTTCCGATGAATTAATAGTTGAGCCATGTAAGTCGAAAAAAAACATTGAAATTAAAATCAAATTATTGATTCTAAAAAATGAAATAAATAAAATTTGTGAAACTTTATCTATTTTAATGGAAAAATCTGATAGAATTTTTGAAGACACTTTGGGATGTCTCAATGATTATCAAGTGGATGTGAAATTGAATAAGAGATTTTCACTCATTTTTTTTAGTATGTGGACGAGTTCCTTTTGAGTGGGAGAAATAAATTCAGAATAGTTAGACCGTTGGGTGGTATTATTATTCAGGTGGAACTTATTGGAACTACAACTATGGTTACTGTTAAAAAAAGTAAATGGAAAGTTAAGGCTATGTGCCATGTTCCATTAAACCCGTGGGTTGTTGCAGTCAAATATCATTGCCTAGAATTGAGGAAATTTAAGCAATTTAAAAGGTGGAAATAATTTTTCCAAAGTGAATTTTTCTTTAGATATTTGCAGTTCTTTAAAAAAGGAAATTTACAAATTATTGACAATTACTAATTTGAAGGGTTTATTTTCTTTTTGTAGATTACTTGTGTGCGTACCTATCTTCCATATAGCCTGTGTCTTCCAAGGATTAGAATGCGTGTATTTTATTTTATGGACGATGTGTTGATAACTACAGTTACACCAGAACATATAATCAGCGTCTTGAGGAAGTTTACAAGAGAATTCGTGACAAAGGTTAGAGAGACAAAAAAGAAAAAAGTGTTCCTGATGTAACCGAAATTGTATATTTGGGTAAATTAATGGGTTTGAAGTGAAACTATATGAATCAGCCAAAGAGTAAGGCTGAAGTGAGGTCATTTTTGGGTATGGTGAATTATTACATCGTTTTGGAAATTTTTTCAAAGTGGCATCTCCATTGTATAATTTATTAAAGAATAGTTACATTTGAGTGGAAATTTAAACGAAATGTGCTTTTGAAATATTGAAAAAATTAATTGTTGAAGAACCTATTGTGTGTTTTAGTAATGATTTAGAAATATTTTTGGCCGTAGATGCATCTAATAAAAGTTTCGGAGGCGCATCATTACATCTAATTGATGAGTTAGAGAGACTATTTCATGAAGTAAAAACTCAGCATTCTGTTATTGAACAGTAAACCTAAAAGTTTTTTTTTGGCTTAACCAAGTATCGTGAATATATAATTAGGTATAAAATTTGTCATTACTGAGATTTAAAAAAAGGATTAATGATGTTACCGAGATTACATTGTTGGTTGTTACTCGTAGGAAGTTTCAATGTTGAAATTAAATATCGGCAAGGGAAAGAAAATTATTTGCCGGGTATTTTATTGAGATTTGAATCAGCAGTGCAAATCCCGAAGTAATCGATAATAAAATTACAATTAGTTAAGATGCATTAATTCGTACTTTTTCTTATATGTTAAAGGGAGGTCATAGAGAAGATATTAAATTAAATTCTTTGAAAGACAAGGATTTAAGTCAGTTAAAACTGTGTTTAACGGATGTAAAAAATTGAAAAAATTGACATGATTTTCATAAAAAAAAATACAAAAAGAATTGTCAATTGTGGACAATTGTATAATGCGTGGAAATCGTGTTGTAATACCATATAAATTAAGCGATAAGATTCTATGTTTATTACATGCTGGTTATCAAGTCAGAAATAATATAAAACCTTGGGCGCTTGAATATGTTTGGTGGCTTAGTATGAATGTGGAAATTGAAAAAAATTACAAATAAATGTGTTCTATGTTGTTCATAAGCCTCCATACCACATAAAGAACTGGGAAGTGTGTGGGTAAATTCAAATCAATCGTGGGAACACGTTCATATTGATTTGATTTGGATTTAAAAAACGTATTTTTTAATTGAATATTCTAATTGGATTGAATATATAGAAGTTCATGGGTTAACGACATAGGTTGTCATCAAAGTATTACAAGAATTGTGGGCTAAATTTGGTTCCAGAAACCACTGGGACTGATGGGGGTCCGGCTTTTATTAGTAAAAATTTTTTTAGAATTTTTGTACTTCTTTATAAATAAAACATGTGCTGGCTCTTACATATCATACTTGCTCTAATGATCAGTCAGAGAGGATAGTAGCCATAGTAAAAAATTGGATAAAAAAGGCCAAACAAGAACAAGTTAATGTTTAGATGGCCCATTTATATTACAATAATTCCAAGAATCTTGTAAATGTAACACCTGCCGAATTATTTGTAGAAGACCAAAGTTTACTTGAAAAGGAAGTGCTATTATATTACACTGTAAAAGATTAAATATAAAATTTCTATTAGGATCAATTATATGGGGTCGTTTATTCAATAATAAAAAGAAATAATGAGGAAAGAATCTATTAAAAAATTTAGGTGCTATGAATAGCATAGAGTTCGAGGACGGAATCATTGGGATATGTTACAATTATCATATTAAAAAAAGAGAACATTAGTTAGTGTGTAAATATTATTTAACGCATATATGTATAGATTTGGTATCTGATTTGGTTGGTGACAGATAAATTTATCTAAAAATTCGTGCCCAAATTAATATATAACATATGTGACATAGGGTGTCTTTAATAAGGTAACTTATTAATTTGATTATTAGAGTAAATTTATTTGGTTAGTGGGAACTCATTTGATTAAATTCTTACTAACAGTGGTAATTACCCATCATATATTGAATGTATATTAAAATTTATGTTCTTTTTCTCAGTGAGAGGTTTAATGATGAGTTAATATGAATCAGTGATATTTTGTAGATTTAAGATTTACTATGTGTTACATGGATTCATTTAATTTACCAAAATTTTATTTTGGTGTTGTGAAAATTTGATTGAATAATATTTACTGTTTAATTGTAAAATTAAATAGTAAATAATTAATAAAAAGAAAATATGTACATTGGATTGAATGGTATGTAAATCATATATTGTGTATCTATTGTCAAAAATTTTTAATAATCAAAAGGAAATATGTGCTGTAAATTATATATAGTGTATCCTTTGTGAAAAATATTTGATAAGTCAAATAATTGATAAAATAAAATAAAAATAAAAGAGTGAAGATAATGTATGAGAAATTTTAATTTTCTCCTTTTGATTTTATTTAAATTTTCCGATGGTCAAGTGTATTGATGGTATACATATAGGTTGGATTAAACGCTCATTGATATAGTTATTTGCTTAATCATTAATTTTTTTTAAAAAATTATTTTTAAAAAAAAATGAAAAAAATAATATAAAGTGATGATCTTCCTTTATTGTACTGTGGTCCATTATTTACGAATAAATATCTTTTAGAAAACCTAGAAGGATATTAAACATATTGGAGAAAAATAGACCAAATAAATCTGAAGATATGAAAATCTTCAATGTCAAACGGGAAGGATCAAGTAGGACAATGAACGTTATACAATCATTTAGTTAAAAATTGTGATATTCCACCATATGCCTTAATCCAGCAGACGCAAATATGCAATATACAGAAGGGAAATCCTTATATTTACAGAAATTTTAATGTCAATTAACCATGTTCGGAGTCAAAGAATTCCCATACAAGAGAGTATGCAACAAGCAATTGCTGCGGTCCGTTTAGAAAAAGAATTGGAGGACATTCAAGATAAGGGGAAGATTTGATATAGATTATTTTATGGATTTTTCATATTGTTTGTTATTGGACTAAAATTTAAATTAAAGACTAAAATTGGAAATATCAAACAAAAGGTTTTTAATCTTTAGAATCAAATCTTATTAGAGAAACAGGATCAGTCAAAATTAATTATTGAATCTGTCTTTGATTTCGATTGAAAAATAATTATTAAAAAATTTAAAATCTAGCAATAACATTTATAATTTAGTACCTGATCATTTTACTCAATAACAAAGACGTTTTTCATTTATTAATAAATCTTATTCTGCTTTGACTAATAAATAAAAAATTTATTTCGATTGCATCCCTAGTTAACTTGACGCTTCGTCACTGATATATTCTATATAATTATAAAGGGATGAGATTAAGGGATGAGACGTGGGGTATATTTATAAGAAAACAAAGAATTTTGCAATGGAGGAGGGTTCTCTTCTCCCCTCCTAGCCTTTAGTTACGCCCAATGTTTATATAATTGGTTACGCCTCTGCACTGAAAATATTTATTTTTACTGTTTAATATTTTATAAATACTGCCTAAAAAATTTATTTAAATAAAAATACTGCCCAGTTTAATAAATTCACCCAAAAATTAAAAAATACAGTATAAATTTTTTTTTGATTAAAATATTTCCCATTTTGATTAATTTACACCCCAAAAACATTGTAGCTCTTAGAAATATAATCAAATAGCAATTATACCTGGGCAATAAAGAAATATACATAAAAAGATTAAAAAACGAGTATTAGAAAGATGTTTATAAAATTTCTATATCAATAAAATTCAACAAAAACGTCGTCCCTCCGTCTAAAATAAATTATAACCTCCAAAAAATTAGAATAAATTCGAAAAAGTGAAGGCGTCACTAATTTAAAATCGATATGATGATCTTTGATCTTTCGCTTATTTATCTTATATCTTATCTATGATTTATCAATATATTTTAATTTTATTTATACTATATATATATTAATATAAGGTTAATAATAATAATCTAACAAAAATTTGAATGAAAAACAAATGAGTAACATTATTCTCAATAATATATCACAACCATACATAAATCACACATCTTTACCTAATTCAGTTAGAAGAAATATAAGTAATAATTTTATATAATTTAACATTCATAATTGTCTAGAAGAAGATATATTGATAAGTGATGAAGATAGGATTAAATACGAGGATTATTTTTCTCAATTAACTCCAATAAATGGATTAATAACAGGTTATTAATTCCAAAATTTTTAAATAATAAATTATAGGAATCAATGCAAAGCAATTTTTTCTCAAATCTGGATTTTCTAATTTGATACTAGCTAGTATATGGTAAACTATTTCCATGTATATTTTATAATATTATTACTAGGGACTTGTCAGATATAGACAAAGATGGGATGCTAGATAAAAATGAGTTTTGTATAGCAATGCATTTAATAAATATGAAGTTATCTGGATTAGATTTACCAACTCCTCCTTTGAATGTGTCATATGGTAGACATTTTAATTATCTAATTTAAATACTATATAGCCAACAAAGCTTTTAATATGATTCCTCAAAAATATGATAATATAATACCCAACTCTCAAAACAAGTAAATAAAATGGATACTGTTTTTAATCTAAAAATTTAAAGTTCATATAATAATGTTATTGCTAATAATACAAATAATTTACTGACAGTGGGATGTGATTGGGCAATTCCTATTCAATCACGATTAAGATATAATCAAGTATTTATTACACTGGATAAAGAAAATACTAGATATATAACTGGTAAATTATTGTAATTTTTTATTAATTAATTATATATGAATAATCAGGTGTACAAGCAAAGGATATATTATTACAAAGTCAATTACCTCAATCTATATTAGCTCAAATATGGTAATTATAACTTTGCTCTAAATTTTAATCCTATAATATTAGGAATTTATCAGATATTGATGGAGATGGCAAGTTAAATTTGGAGGAATTTATGTTGGCTAATTTTTTAGCTGAAGAATATAAATCAGGACGTATGGTCAAATTGCCTGATAAGCTGTCTTCTGATATGCTTCCACCATCATACAAATTAAATAACAATACTCAATCAACAAACACTCAAATCAAACAACCATGTATGTAAAAACAATAATAAGATTATAATTAATCAGTTGTTGATGTAGTGTGATACTGTCAGCCTTGTTAAATATATTATTAAATAATATTTTTAATTTTATACACAATCTTGTAATAATAAAACATGAACAAAAATTTATTTCATAATTATAGATATTTTTTAAAAAAACCTAATTTTTATAAAAGAAAATTGCTATAAAATATTCAAAAAATTATATTTGAAGTTCAAAACTTATTGTTTTTGAAATTTAATTTTTTGTTTTTAAAATTCAAAACCTTTATTTTGTTTCTAGCCCTAGTTACTCCACCAAAAATTCTTTACCCCTCATCTTCATTTACTTTAAACTCTTAATATTTATTTCTATAGATATTTTACTTTACCATATTCCCTAGGCCATTATAACCCAGATTACAATTTGAATTTACATATCATCCTCATGCTTTACCCCCACCTTATCTATCCTAACCTCTTACTATCTTCATTTGTCTTAAATTATTTTCCTATCAATCCAGCAATGCATTACATTAATATCTTTTTTTTTATTCTACACACGATTTTGGATATAAAAAATCAGACTAATTTTACAATTACCCTTAAGCACGATAAATTTGCCAGAAATATATTCCTTAAGTCATATGACTAATCATTATCATTGAATTATTGACCAATTTTTTGATCTAGATTACCTTCAACATAGAGTAATATAAGAAAATAAAAAACATACATTTTTTGACTAAATAAATGACGTTTTCACAATTAATATCAAGGTATATTGGAATGGCAATATATTTTTTCATGGTCTACACTTTGTATGGGATACTACAACATTCACTTGCAAACAAACAACGTTTATTAAAATTGGGAAATTCAAGGTCCCTTGGACATAAAACCTAAATCATCCTTTTTTTTCCATTCATGATATACTATAATTATTACAAGATTCTATATCCACGTTCTAAAAATCTATTTTGCAGTTTTCAAAAAAGTTATAATATTTAGTATAATATCTGAAAATTTCAAAAAAAATTTTGTCCAATTATCTTATATTTTTTGCCAAAGAGCATGATATTTTTTTTTAAAAAAAAATTATACTTCTGAAAAATTGATCTGAGTGTACATTTCACCATAATAATCTGGCAGAAATATATTAGAGAGTTATGAGGTAGTGTTGTTAAATGGCTCTATTTGAGCCAATTTTTTTAAAACGGCTAACTCAAGATTTTAGCCAGAAAAATGTTGCCAAAGCTTTCATAGTTTGCTAATAGATATCCAAACCTTTGTGCCGTCTATGAGCCGAATCTTCAGACTCACGTTATTTTCTTTTTAATAAAATATTGAGTCAGCTGTTTTTAAAAAATCAGCTCAAATTAAGGCGTTTAACAACGTTATTATGAGGGCTAAAACTATTTAGAATATTTAAAATAAGATTATACATCCCTTATCTATATTAATTTCGAGAATATATAATAAATATCATCAAATTAATAAATTTCGTATTTTCAAAATGGAACTAAGGGGGATGGGAGAATGGTAAGAACCAGAAATGTATGGATATAAGCTTTTTAACCGATTTGCTTAACCACTTTTCCCGCATATGTCAATATAACCTTTACTCTAGCAGAAACAAAAAAAGGAGGAATAAATCAAAACACCGAAACTTCATTTTTTTTTCTTCAATATCCACCAGTGGACAATTTGCTCTCAACATATTCTTTTTTTTTCTTCAAAACTCTTACTCATAAAATAGGAATTCAAGCATTGGAGGCCAAAGTATTTCTTTTTAGGGATTCAATTCTGTTTTTTCTAGATTATAACATCCCCACCCCCTCTCTACCTTCTTTTATAACAGTAATTTTTTATTTTATTAGTAAAACCTGTCTAATTTTAGCACCTTTGGGACCTACTTTTTGCCAAATTAGTTAGACAGTTTATCAAAAACATCTTCTAATACACAGTGTATATAGGAATTTGATTCAAATTAGGGAGTTGCCCTAATTATGAAGAGCCCAAAGTAGACGAGTTTTACTGCATAGTATAATTTTTTATTTCTTCTTGTTTCTATATTTTTCTTAACACAAAATTTATAATAAATAAAATATATTAAAAACGTAGTTACGTTCGAGGATAAAAGGAGAGAAAATTTTGACATGGGAGCAGCTATATTAGAACAAAAACGATCTGCCCTGCAAAGAGCGGAGGCCGAAGAGAGACAGGAACGACAACGGAAAGAGGCTCACGAAGTAGAGGCCCAAAGGCTCATAAAGTTTTATTTTCTTCATTTCGTATAGATAATAAATTATATCGTTATGTGGAAAGAGATTAGGATAAACAAATTTATAATAATACATTAAATAGACATAACCAGGAGATAAATATGTATATACTACTATTTTTTAAATGCAAATTTATAAAAGCAATTTTGGTTGGTTGATCAAAAAAATATCAACAATTTAAAAAAGGATCGTGATTGTACGCTAACTGACAGTTAGTTCGTGTGAAGGAATGTTTTACAATTGGGGGGGGGGGGTGAGCCATCCACAACTCAGCCTGCTTTTTATGGTGAATGCGATACCAAGTGATTGAACAGCTGATCCAGTTATGTTTTCTCTTGTGAATATGATAGATTGTGATTTATTTAATATTTTAAATAAGTAATAAAGAAAAAAAAAATTTCAACTCCTTCAAGAATGATTTTTTAAAAAATCTTTATACAATGTAACTTTAATTTATAAATTTTATAAGTTAATTAAATGAGATTGGTGGTTAATCTACTTATTGATGTGGTATTGTAGACAATCAATATTTGTAAGATTCATGCTTCTCATATCCACTGCTATCACATTTGTCCACGTCATCTTGGGCCTTCCTCTAGATCTTGATCCTCCTACTTCCAATAATGTGCATCTCTTTACCCCTCATCTTTTGTCATACTTTCCACATGCACAAACCATCTAAGTCTATTTTATCGCATTACCACTCCAATCATTTCTATACCCAATCTTGCTTGCAATTCCTTGCTAGTTTTTCTCTTTCTCAGAGATACCCCACACATCCATTTAATCATCCTCATCTCTGTTCTTTTTAATTTTGGCTTCGTGAGTCGCTTTCTTATTATATAGAATAATTTTGCTTGTAAGCTGAATCAAATTTGAGCCTAATTATTATTTATTAAAACATAAGGTAATTTATACTTTCAAAAGCATTGAGCCCAAGGCCTGTGCATCTCTTGTATTTCAGTTGAATTGAATTTGCGCTTAAAATTTTTATAATTTTAAATTTATCGTTAATGATTTGTTATGGGTAACCATGCAAGGAAGTATTTCTTAGGCCCATTTCGGCCCCAGCCTATTTAAAAAAAATAAATATATATTTCATTTATTTTTAATTTTTATAGCTAATGGCTATTTAAAATATTTAATTTTAAAATATACGGCCCAGCCTGCCCCGGATATTTTTTTTTAAAAAAAAATTTAAGGCTTGGCTTGGGTTATGTCTAAAAAATTAAAATACGTCCCGGCCCGTGTATCCGGGCCAGGCATGCAGGTCTCCGATTTATGTACATAAAATATTTAAAAGACTAGCTTAAATAATTGCAATATTATGGCGGATTTTTATAAGATTAACGATTAAAATGCCATATCTCCTGAACCTGAGCTCGGCCCAACTTTAATTTTTGACATTTGGATTTTTTTAAAAATGATAATTAGCTATATATAGCGAGGCCTACCATTAGGCTACACAAAGAGATTTAAATGACGCATCTAGCGCAATTATATCCAAAATTAAAAGAAGAGTATTTTGCCCAGAATGGCGCCACTTTTTTGACCTTCAGAGGCCCATGTCTTGGCCGCTGTTTGGTCATGGAGGCTAAAATTGTATTTTTTTTGCCTAAGTTTTAATATATACAAATTAGTGAAAATTTTAGAAAAAAATCTGAGTGGAGTCAGCTTGAAATTCATGTTGATTTGTCTAGTGTTGTTAAAATGCCTAACTTTAGTCAACTATAAAACAGTGTAGCTATGTATTTACCAGAGTTGTTAAAAGATACTTTTTAAATGGATCTAGATACAGATACATTGTCCAAAATAATATCTAGATACAGATATTTTAATCAAGAATCTATCTAGATACAGATACCACATTTTTATATCTAGATCCTTTAGTATCTAGATCCTTTAACAACTCTGGTATTTACCCAAAAAAATTCAAATCAATCTTCAAGTTGAGACTCAGCTTAGAAGCTTAATTCAATTTTTTAAGCTAAAAGCTTGACTAAGCCACAATAGAGATGGTCAAAGTTAGATAATTTAACAACACTAGGAACACCATATATATATATTTTTTTCTTCTTAAATTATAATTAATGTTGATTATTAATATGTTTTAATTTTAGTTATTATACAAATTTATATATTTTTTTTAAATAGAAAAAGTATTAATATCCAAATAAAAAACGAGATGCTTAATAAATTTAAAATGAATATTATATTATTAAAAATATGATTATCAAGAATGGAGCAGGAGAAAAAGCAACAACAAGAGATGGAATTGGTTTTGGAACGTCAAAAGGAATCTGAAAGAAGAAACGATATGGAGAAAATCAAACTTTTACAATCGAAGGAGGTTTTTTAAAAAATATGTTATTATCCACCACCCAACCCCATTTTTTTTATACTTAAATTATCACGTGATCATGTCAGCCCTTTCCGTTATTTAATACAACATTTTAACTTGTGTAACTTTTCCTTATCATAAGACGACTCACCCATGAACCCCGAAAAAAATTTTCATAAAATAACCCTAAAAAGTTTTCGTTGCCTTCATTAAATTCTTTTTTTTAATGAATACAAACTTCGATCTGACAATTAGTGAATCGATAATAAAATGGAGCCAGGGGCCATTAAAATAATTATATGTATACAGGCAAACCCTGAAGTTGATGCCTTACCTTACTTTTACTTATGCTTGAATTTTTTTTAAGAATCTATCGAATTCAAGAAGAAAGTTAAAAATTATTTTTATTTCTTTATTAATAAACAAATAATATAATTTAATCGATATAATGATCATTAAACAATCCAATAAAACAATTAGCCGCTACGAATAAAATTAAAAATCCTTATATAAATTTTATATCTTACTTACGACAACTCCACCCCATTTAAATCTCCCAAAACATTCGCACCGCTCTCCCAATGATTTATTGAGCTCAGCGTCCCGAAAAAAAAACGAGATCCAACCACAAATCTTCTCCAATGGGGATATACGGTCTTGCTTCCCACGCGTTATCGTCGCTAATTGACGGCTCCAACTGTTATTCCCAAACCGACTGGTGTTTCCGTCTCCCAATTATTCTCATCTGATGACGTTGTCGCTCCTTCCCTCTTCCCTGCGGCTCCAGAGATTACTGTTGTTAAAAAGCCCGATTAAGATGAGAATCAAAATAACATTATGTGAGCTTAAAGATTTTCCTCATAGTTGACAGAAAATCTTGGGTATCAATTTGCCAAATCACTGTGCTTACATAATATTATTTATCTAAAATCTTAATCGGACCGTTATTAACAACATTACCAGAGATATCAATCACGGGTCATCTACCGGTCTCCCTCTATCGGGTATTTATCATTTCCTGTCTATTTAACTCTCCGACATCACTATCGGTCGATCTTTTTAATCAATTCCTATACATGTAACCACGTTATCCGACACATCGTATCCCACTCTCCATTATGCCCTTCCATCTTTGAAGTGTGACTCTTTCATCGCTTCATCCCTTTTCCCGGGATTAAAATACACATCCATATTTGTAACACAATCAAGCCAATAAAAATATTATAATTGTACCATTCTTCACAAATTTCAAACAATTCATAAACACTCTCCGGTGTAGGAATATAAAGTAGAGCCAATAATTAGTGACATTGTCCATCGGAAAGGATTTGAAGTATTGGTTGGATCTCGTTTTTTGATTGGACGCTGTGCTTTATGAATTTTTGGGTGGGCATCGCGACGGTTTTGGGTTTTAATGGGGAGGAGTTATTATAAAATTAAATAAGGATTTGGATTGTTTAATGATCATTATTGATTAAATTATATTAAATAGGAAATATTGAGAGCCTTTATTATTAATCAATTTATTAATATTTATATATTTTTTTTAAAATAAAATTCTATTTTTTTGTTAATATTTTGAATTATATTTGTATACCGACATTCCAAAAAAATTATTTATTTTTTATATATCTTCCCGAGCCCTGTTAGAAATAATGTTTTATCATATTTTTTTTAATAAAGACAGTTCTTAATTTAATATTTGGTTTTAAACATTTAGAAAAAATTTATAAATATATAGGCTTCAAGACTTGAGCTCGAGAAACAAATGAAGCAGGACTTGCTGGATAAAAGGCTCAAGGAACTGACCTCAACTACCAAAAGGGAGAAAGAGACATTATGCTTGCTTAAGACCAAAGAGAAAGATTTAGATTGCGACATTCAAAATATGGTTTTTTTAAATATATTTAAAAAAAAAAAATCATACCATTACCCTTGAAATCGTTGGTCAGGGAATGCCAAAGGGGGGCTAATAAATCATTAGCTTATTATAATATATATTTATAATTTAAATGTTGTATCTGGAAACGTTTATAAGTAAATATTCTATAATTTATGATAATTGGAAATGATTTTGCAAAGGCTAACAGCTAAATAACACGAATATAATCTTAATATACCTCTAACCAAGGCTATCCTAAGTTATCAACCGAGTAGATCTCTCCAATGAATACTTAAGATCATAAAAATGGGAGTAACGGGCAAACTGGTCCATCAGAGTAAACCTGGGAACGAGAAACATTATGAACAAGATAAATATCTTAAAGACTCTCCCCCCCCCCATTCCTTATCTTAAATTTTTCTAAGAATGTCAAAAATTAAGTTTTATTTTTTTTTTAAAAAAATAAATTTTAAAAAAGGAAGAAAAAATATGTAACATGAAACAAACATTAAAAGAAACCCAAAACACGGCTTCGAAGCTCAAGGAAAATCAAAATGGAATAATCGATAAAACCAGGCTTGTTGAAAATAACGTCAATTCTCTGAAATCTCAGCTAGAGGTATTACTTTAAAAATAAATATTATTTTAGCTTTGTAATAAGCGCTAATACGAATATTATTTTAAAAATATGAAAATATTGATTTACACGCAAAGTTTTCAGTTTTAAATGATAAAAGATCCTATATTTATTCTTTGATAAGATAATAAAAACATGGATAATTCGTTTTGAAATTGTTAAGGATAATAATTGTTGATACACTACAACAATATGTGGTATAGAAATTACCTTCGGGTAAGACTCATATGTTGTTTAACGGCTCAATTTAGCCGATGTTTAATGGTTAAATTAAGATTTTAACCATTTTTATAAAAGGCTTATATCAAAATATTATTATTATTTCGAATTTCGCCATTATATGTGTCCAAACCCTCTCTTTCCTGTCGGCAAACTCTAAGCATACTTTTGGCATAAATCCTGAGTTAGCCGTTTTTATAAATCGGTTAAGTCGAGCCACCTAACAACGCTAGATAAGTTTCCGATGGAGGTCCTAGGATAAATCGTATTAAATTCGAAAATAATAAAATAAAAGCCTTGATTTATATACAATCGATTTTATTAATTTATTGTTGATTAATGTATTATCTTCAAAGCAATTAGACGGCCACTTGAACAATTTACATAGGAATAAAACGAAAGCTAGAGATGTTTTATCTTCGTTTGGATACGGTGAGTTACTACAATTGAAAAAAAAAAATTCGAATTTTGTAGGGATTATTTATTTTTGCAATGCGATAAGCGTTTTTTGAAAGCTTAAATCTGGGTTGATTTTTTAAAACGGCCCAATTAAGATTTTAGCTTAAATAGTATTATGTAAGCAGATTTTGTTCATAGATAAGAGAAAGATTCTGATCTCTATTTGGCAAATCTCGAGGCATACATTATATTATATTGGCTAAAATCTTAATAAGGCCGTTTCTAAAAATGAACCCAAATCGGGCGTTTTTTAACAACACTAAAATTCAAGAAGGAGATAAAATTTACTCTTAATATTGTATAATTTATTTTATACCACAATTTATGGTCTTGCTTAATATATGTTATATAAAAAAAATAATTTTTTTATATAAAAATAATGTTAAGGACAACATAATATAAAATAAAATTTAAGAAATAATTAGCATATCATAACTAAAGAGATAATTAAAATTGAAATAATTATTATTTAAACTCTGAAGAAAATCTTTCAAATTTTTTGATTTCATTTTTTTAGCATGAAGATTACAAAAGATTTATTTGTAACAAATTGCTTAAAAATTTTTTTTTTTTAGATAAAATATAATTTTTTGATAAAACTCTGGTTTTTTTAAAAAAAAACTTGGTTGTATGCCCAGTAATTATTTTATTCACTTTTAAAATTATTTTTGCTAATATTTTGTAAACTGTATGGAAAGGAAGTGTATGGATTTTACAATCTTAATTGATAAAAATAAATCTCGGTCTGTTAATTTTTTTTAGGTCTAACCCGCTTTTCTAATTTATTTTTAAGCTCCACCTGGATTTTTTAAAAAAAATTTAATGGCATCATTATACGGCCCAATAACGAGTCGGGTTCTAGGGTTGGCCTGAATATCTATGATACAAGAGTTTGAATTTTGTTTTTTTTTGAAAAAGTTTTGATTTCATCTAGAAAATATATTTATGCATTAAAATTGCTTATAAAAGATTTTTTAAAGAAAGATTTTTAGCATTTTTGAGTAAAATTTGATGAAAAATCTGTCACCTTTACTTTTTAAATGATATTTTCAAGCATAAAAATCACTATTTATTTTTTCTGTCTATTTGCAAAAAATTGTTTAACTATATTAAGTTCTTTAAAAATATGTATAATCCTTAAATTTATTTCAAGGAAGTTCCAAGAATATTCGCTTTTCGTGAAACAATTATTGTCCTCGATTACACTGTAACCTTTTAGAATTCATGTTAAAATTGGGACTTTTTTGTCGAGTGTAGAGGAATAAAGATAAAAAAAAACACAATTGTTTGCGTTTTTATAGAAGTGACAGATGCCAATCTAATTATCAGCATTCATTTTATTTATTAAAACGAATTTTTAATCAATGTAACATTAATGGGTATCCATCATACATTACAATCATTGTTTGCATATTTTAGGATCGAAGGATAACTTGTTGGAAATAATAACATCAAATACGGGTATAAATGAAACTGGTATAGATAAAATGTCACCCGAGGATGCCGCTAAAAAGCTCGCTCTCGAGAGATCCATACAGACGCTGAAGGATAAATTAAGTGTCATGAATCGGAAGATATCAGATCTCAACTTCGGCTCAGCTGACCAAGTAATTTGGAAACACTATAAAACATAATTATAAAACCTTTACAAGGTGATCAGATCCCTATTTTGGCTCCATTTATGTTGGCTCCTTTTTCGGGTTGAACTTGAAGTCCCTCAATTTTTTAAAAACTTAAAATTAGACAAAACCGCAGAACATTTTCAATAATTTTCAATTTTGGCCCTTTCCCTATATTTATTGTCCAAATCGTCATTGGGCCCTTTTCGTCGAAATATATATCAAGCTTCGAAATAATTATTAATGAATTGCAGTGAAATGGCAAGTCAAACGCCACTCAAGAATTATTGTTTTTTTTCTAACATAGGGATAGATAGAATATTTACCAAGAAACTTCTTCTTTTTTACTACAGGTGAGCTTTATTTAATTTTTTGAATTAGATTTTGTAAAAAAAAATTACGAATTATTTATTTCAATTTTTATCTGAAAAATAAATTTAAAAAAAAATATTTCAGACTAAGCCTGATCCATTTTTTGGTGATAGTTTTGATCAGAAGAATCATCGCCCAGAGAAAACTCTACCCCTACCTACAATGATGCATCTTTCAAAGACAGTCAAAAACACGTAATAATTTAAAATCCAGCAATGTTTAATATTTTTTTTTTCAAAAATCCCCTTCCTATTTACCTCATGAATTTAAGACAATTATGTTGTAATGTACATATTTATATCTCATAAAAATATATAACAGAAACATTAATAAAATTTATTAACCTTATACTTATATATATAAACCTATGCACAGGCTGGCTGCCTATATATTTTGATCATGCCGCAAACGCCGTCGGTTATGAAAATCACCATTGGAGCATAAATTAAAAAATTTTTTTTATATTTTTTATACATTTTTTGTTCCAATGATTAATCAACATCACTCTTGTATTTGTATAACGGCATCCCCGAAAATGCCTAAATTCAATAGATCTTCATTGGATATGTTATATGTTGATAGCACTGATCCATATCCGGGCACCCGTTTTCTAATTGGCGAATTCCAATAATGATAATAAAATGCCACTCTCAACCAGATGGCATAGTATATTAATTATGCTCTAAAGCATATCTGCCTTTAATAAATATCTAATTAATAAGTTTGAAAAAAAGAATTAAAAAGCATTATCTCGAACTTTCAAACTATGAATCGGATCTCCTAGAAGGATTAATTTTTCTTTCTAAATTTAACAAAAGTTTATCTCCAGAAATAAAAGAGGACATACATTCAACTTGACATTATTTTTTACAAGTGAAATATAAACGCATTAAATAGTTAAATGGTAATGATAATTAGGTAATTATTTTTACTTAAGAAAAAAATATGTTTAAAAAAAACTTGCCTTACTATTTTCTGTTTGCGATCCGCAAGTAATATTATTTTTATTTATTTTACTGTTTATTTCGAAAATTATCTATAGGTGTAGGCTTCTTTTCCTGACCTAAGTTACGAAAAATTAAAAATTTTGACAAAATATCTAATAAATCAAAATTGCGCATCCCTGGAATTTATTATTAAACTTCTTAAACTTATAGAATATGATTGTTATTAGATTAGTAAGAGATTGGAAACCAAGATGAAAATATCAAATAAAATTATTCGGCAAGCTTAGCAAATATACATTCTACAACTAAGCACAAATTATGATTCCAATTTAAGTGACTTAAAACAATGATGCCATTATTCTTCACAAAAAAAAAGCATGATGCTTCTGAATTAGTGGAGGGAAAAGAGGATCACTGCTCAATCTTTCCACGCTAGTCAAGTTTTTTTTTAAAAGTTTTCCAGCAAATATCACACCTAGCGAAAGGGCTTTCTATACCTCCTGGTTTACGTTAAACAAAAGGAGATCATCCTCATGTCCGTCATATTAAAATAAAATATTTTTATGAATGATAACTACAAAAATTACAAATATGAGCTTTGAATTTATAATTTGACAATTTAAAAATTATATATTATATAATATTTATGTCCTTGCGTCAAATTTATGCCGCCTATTTTGATGGCGACTAAGAAGCGGCATGCCGCTGGCCGTCGATTAGATTTTTTAAACTATCGCTGGCCCCCGATAGTTTCGTCGGCGCACAGGTATGCCTACATATTTAAGGAAAATATGGTTAAAATTTGTATACATTTTTTTTAAGGAGGGGCAGTGTTAGGGGATGATATTTTACGAGAATTGGCAAATTTGCGAACATCTTGGTTACGCCATTTATATTTATCAATATATAATGCTGGTTGAATTCTTCCTCTCGAAAAATTGACATAAGAAATGCTAGAAATAAAATATATATCAATAAAAACAGCATTATTTCAATTTAAAAAAAAACTCACATTTTTTTTTGGCAGAGGGTGGGGGGTGGGGGATTTCAAAACAGGAAATGATCCTGTTTTTGATTTACAAAAAAAAATTTGAACAATTTTATTTTATTTTTGTCAAGTTTGGAATCTTGCGTTCAATCTCCGATTAAATCACCTGTCGGGTTGAAAACCATCGTATCCCCCATCAAATATGGTTATCTTTATTTTAAATTTATATATTTTATTAAAAGACAACTTCAAAATTTTTATTTAAAAAAAAATATTTACTTGTTCAAAACAAAAAAAAACAAACAGAAACCGGTTACAATATAATTCAAAATCAACACGCCGAAATGAATGAGCATGATAATATTTCCCTCGAACGTGAGCGCCAATTGACCCTTACCCAATCCCCCAAACACAGTTTCAATCTCTCACCAATTCCTAGCGATGGTCACCACGGCGACAATGCCTTGTTTAATTCGGAACAAAATACTCTTAGTATTAACAAAAAAAAACAATATTTATGTGTAGAACGTTCTTATAGGGAATGGGGAAGGGGAACTTATTTTCCACTCACCACTATCTTTGACATTTTCTTAAAAACATTTTGTAGCGCGTAGTTTAGAATGTGTTTAGACTGGACCTAACTTGTAAATTAAATTATAATATTTGTGACACTCTACAAATCGATAAGAAAGAAAATAGAGGAGAAAATAAAAGGAATTGTATTTTTTTTTAAAAAAATAGAATATTAATTATTAGACTTAAAAATATGATTATTTTAAAAAAATTTTTTTTTTTTACAAAATTAAAGAAATCATTTAGCTTTATTCGGACGGAATAAAGAACAAAAAAAATATAAACCTTAAACTCACGTGATCTGTATGTTTAATTAAGAAAATATGAAAGAAAAGAAAAGAAAGAAAGGTAATAGAGGAGAAAATATAAGGAAATAAGAAAGAAAAGAAAAGAGATGGAGGAGAAAATAAAAGGAATTGTATATTTTTTTTTAAAAATACTCCCAAAAAAGCGAAATTATATCCATACAAAGCTTTGTACCCGTTCGAAGCACGGTCCGAAGATGAACTAACTTTCAAAACTGGAGATATCATCATGGTAAAAAAAAATAATTTATGTTCACGTGGCAAGCATTAAATAGTAAACAGTTGTTAATATTTCTTATTTTCCAATTTTATGTTATTGCTAAAGATTTCAGTTTAGTTCAATATTATTTTTTTTAAAAAATGGATGTTTATTTTTAATATATAGAATAGAAGAACACATATTTGAAGATTTTATGTTTCAATCAATTTTTTTTATTAAAAAAAAATAACGCCATATTGCGTACTGCGCATTTGAATACAAATTTGAAAGAAAAAATAGGTTTGTTTGTAAACAAATATATTTGGCAGTGGGTGTTGCAATAACAGTTACACAGATTTAATAATATAATATTAAACGTTAATTAGATTGTGTATGATGACTAGTGTTGTTAAACGGCTAAGTCGAGTCGACTTAGCCTAAAATCTAGTCAAGTTTTGATCGCAAAACTCATTTCAATTTGAGCGGCTCAATGAGCCGCATGAGTCGGCTCGATGAGTATGCTTTAAGTAAACAACTTTAGGCTCATTGAGCCGCTCAATTTGAAATGAGTTTTACGACTCCAACTTGAGTTCAGAGTCGTAAAAACTCGACTATTTAACAACACTAATGATGACGTTTACATATTTATTCACGCAACCTATTTTTTTTAATATTTATTTTATAGCCTATACTAATTATTAAGATGTTGATAATTATTTTTTGGTTCTTAGATAAGTGTAACGAGAATTAAAATAAAAGTTTGATCTCTTTACTACATTTCTAAAAGGATATGCATGAAATGCAGGTACAAATACTTTTTAGATTATTTAAACAATGCACAAATTTTGGGGTAGTAGCCTATTTTTTTTTTTGGCTAAGGCTAACTCCTAAGCCGATGTTTTTTGGCAAAATAATTCGTCGGCTTAGTTTTAGCCAAAAAAGTAGGCTCAGGCTTAGCCTTAGCGCCCAAAATAAATCAGCTTAGGCTTAGCATTAGCCAAATAAAAATAGGCTTAGCCAAAAGAAAATCGGCTATGCTAAGTCAATTAACCAATCATACTTGGGGATAATCTCGGATCAAAATTTATAAACCCTTTTTTTTTTATTTATTTAAAATTTGTTAGTTTTATTAAACTCTTACGAAAAAAAAAATTACGTAAAAACTCAAGGTTGCTGAAGCAGAAAAATCAGAGGAAGGCTGGTTGGGCGGCAAAATAGGAACTAAAATTGGTTGGTTTCCAGCCTCGTACGCGACTAAAATGAGCCCTACAGGCATTCACGGGTAAAAATGAATATTATATGATTAATATTTAAATTTTCCTCCAATAACTAAAACACTACTCACCTTTCCTTATGGGAAATAACGCAGGGAATTATATGTGTGTATCGATTATTTGTAAATTTTATCAGCTTAAGCCTTAAAATGAAAAATGATAAAAAATATCTTTGGAAAATAATACATTAATTGTATATTTTACAAATTCCCTTCCCTCCCCTTTTATATATATATAGTAAAGATATTCCGGAGGATAAAATGAAACACGCTGAAAACGTTTATCAAGATCCCACTGATTTACGAGTAAAATTTCTTATTACAAAAATGTTATCTCGATAAAAATTACTTGGCTTTATTATTATTAGATATTAATATACATCGCCAAAACATTTATCCCTATAAATTTAGGTTTACAATCCTAACCTAATATCACTTGTTTTTTTTTAAAAGTCAAAACATTTATTTTGCATCTGTTTAACATTATTTAAAGCAAACCAGAATTGGTACGCTAAGATTTTTATAAAGGGTTTTCGACCCAGCCTTCTAATCCATTTTGATTGGCGTGGACCCCTGAATAGTATTGTTAAACGACTCGATTTGAATCGAGTTCAATATTTTCCAGAAAAATATTACGAAAACCTTAATCAAAGATTTAAACATTTATTAGCGAAATCACGAGGCTTAGGCAATATTTAGTTGGCTAAAATATTAAATTTTTGCCTTTTTTAAAAATCATTACCCATGAAATAATTTTATATTAGCTATCCAGTCTTACACATAGAGTTTTTAAAAATAAAAAAATAACTTACTTAAGGAAAGGGGGGGGGCTCTCATCGCGCCTATATTTAATTTTAAACTTATTTAAATAACCACCAATGAGATTTGTTTTTTGAAATTATCCTCCTTTCAAAATAGAAATCGTCTGCTGCAAATTTTAACATGGCGGCTCCGACAAAAGCCGTTGCCATATTTTCCCTCGATTCCAATACGGAAGGTGATCTCTCGTTTCTTAGAGGGGACGTCATTGATATAGAAAAAGAGTTGGATTCTAATTGGTGGATAGCCAGACTCGGTGATAAGGTTATTTTTAAAAAAATTTTTTTTATTCATACAATAATAACTATGATTTTCCGAATTATGATCGTGGATTCGTCCACTTTTCTGATTGGTCCATATAATGATTGTCAATTAAGAATATCTTAAATATTACTTGGAATTATCTGATATATTAAATAAATACATAAATAAAATAATTACCCGCAAAAAAATTCTTGTTAATAATGATGTCGTCCATTATGTCCAAAATGGACCAAAATAAGATCGATCAAAGTAAGATTAATGAATTACATTCTTCTATTGGAAAACCTAGAAGCGAAATATTTGCTTTAAAATTGACCTGCTATTTAAACACGAATATTTTTTTGTTCCCTTCCCCTTCTGACAATGAATGATATTATTTTAGATGAATAAATAGAAACTTCCACTAGCTCTTTCTTTTTCGATTACGGAAAATGAATAATTTATTTTTAAGTGTTGTAAATAATATTTAAAATAACTCGTTACTAATTCAAAAACTCTGCTTATTGATTATCACTAATAATAGGAGTAAAACGTTGTTTACCCTATTTACTTTTCTATAAAGTAACGAATGCCCTTCTTCCATTCTACAAAGCCATTACTTTTTATCGACCTTTTATTATTAATTTTTTTAAAACCTTTTCTGCTTAATTATGATTCAAATTTTTTTTTAAAATTATACTATATATGACAGAGCGGTTACGTGCCCAAATCGTACGTCAAAATAATTGACGGTCACGAAAAACTACAATCTACTTCCATCTTTTCTAACGGTTTTATCCCCGGTGCTGAAAGACCCGTATCTACTCCCCTCGATAATAGCTCATACAGCGACAAGGAAATCGTTCAGGATACTTCCATATGGTTTAAAACCCTAAAATAATTAATATATTAAAATTTTCAATATTATCAATAGGTAATTTTTCAGTTTCAGTATCAAATGTTAGTATTTTCTTAATATTTATTTCACTCTTAAAAAAAATTGAATCAGGCGCTCATAAATCACTCATAAGATTTTATTATTTTTATTTTGAAGAGCATTTTAAAATCTGGTTAGCAAAACTTACCAACATCAATATACAGTTGGGCTTGTCTAATATGGTCTCTTGACAATTCGGGCCATTCCCTAATTTGACTAAAATTTTGAGTCCCAAATCAAATTTCTATTAACCATTATGTCATTTAGAGAATGCTCAATGATAAATTGGGTAACTGTCTAAGTTTGGCACAAATTATGGACTCAACTGTGCTTAAATTAAACATATTTTACTGTATTTAGTTTTATATATAGACTGGTAAAATAAATAATCATCAAGGCCTAGCTGGAAATCGGAAACCGGAACCGAAAATGATAATTATTCGCCCTATCAAATCGCTCAGAATGACCCTTTCAAAAGCACGACTATCAACAACGAAACGCTGAAAAAATCATCCGGTGATTTCGGATTCGAATCGGCATTCGTTGGTTCGGAGTTTGACGGTACCGCCGATAACAAGAGCAATACTATAACCAATAAATCAAGTATATTTGAAACACTTATTTTTTTTTATTCATAAAATGTTATTTCTTTGGTCCGTTTGTTTTGAAATAATATTTTATACCAGCTAACTTGCCAAGCATTTTTAAATCTAGTTAAAATTACTTGGACAAATCAGATAAGGATTGTATTTAGCCAGAGAAAAATCTAACATTAATGATTAAAGATATACTATGATATGTTACTCGTTTGACCTGCTGTTTTTTAATATGGTATTATTTTATTTTGCACTTCTAAGCGAAATTATTTCTCTGGCTAAAATATTGAGATAGCCAAAATTATCAATCATACATATATTTTTTTTATATGCCACTGGCGATTAGTTTTTTTTTTATGCACTAAATTTATACAGTATACCACAGTGATCATTCAGAATTTAGATTATATTCTCACGAATCAATGTATTTTTAATTTTTATAGCCTTTTTAATGAATCAAGCTTTTAACAGCACTAATCCCTTAAGTATAATATAGAAGAATATGGTATATATAATTCTTTATTTTTAAAAAAGGTCAATGAATTTTAAATTTATCATCTCTAACACAGACCTAATCGTCGATAAATACGTAGCCATGTACCCATTTATCTCGCAAGAACCCGGAGACCTACAATTTGGGGTGGGCGATATCATAGAAGTCGAGACGAAAAAATTGTTCAACTCATCGACTGACAGCGAATCTAAGGATTGGTGGACTGGAACATGCCAATCGACTCTCAAATCTGGAATATTCCCCAAAAATTATGTCAGGAAGCTTGAAGAGAACCTTGTAAATTACATTAGATATAACGTTTATTTATTTTTTTTTTAATTAAAAATTTTAAAGGCGCCTATGAGTTTTTGCGATAAATTTTTAATAACATCGGGCTAAATTGCTTTTAGAATAGAAAATAATTACTTCAATTTTTCTTTTTCTGTATGGGTTTAAATTATAAATTTCTTTAAATCTAACCTCGTTTGCAAATTCTATAAAGACGCAACCATTTTTGATAAAATTTGTGCAATTTAAAATAGAAAATTTTAGGCCACACTTAAAATATTTACGAGATATTTTAAATTTTATATCAAATAATCAATATTATGATTTTTTTATAAAGAAAAACATTTTACAAATATATAAAACTTAATTATTAAAATTCGTCTGCTCGAAGCTTTCTCAACACTCGACCCCCATTTCCGCCTCATCTTTTCGAAAAATATCTGCCACCGGCAGTACTAGCTCTTCGCAAATGACCGAAAATGGCCGTAAGTACGTGACCACGGCTATCGCTATAGCCCCATTCAAGGTTAAATTATTGAACTAATATTTAAAAAGAATGTATTAATTTATTTTTCCATTTCTAGGCGTCCGGACCCGAACAATTATCTTTGACCCCAGGAATGATGGTAGCGGTTCGCAGAAAAACTCCTGCAGGCTGGTGGGAAGGGGAAATAATACCTCCAAAGGTAGCTACATTTTGAGTAATAATATTACCTTGTAACGGGTGATAATTTGATTTATTAAACGAATCGTATGATCTTGAGATGGGGTTGGATAAGGGCTAATTTTTCATGATAAACTAACTTTTCTAACCTCAATCTCTACCTTCTTTTATATACGGATTAATAAAATGACATTAGTATTAATCTTGCTTTTATGTTTATTATTTTTAAATATCGACTACCTCCAGCAACAAGCTCCTCCTGGTGTAAAAGTAAAGAAGCAAATTGGCTGGTTTCCTGGATCTCACGTCAAACCCGTTAAGCCTAATGCATCCGATACTCAGAAAGTATTTATTTACATTTTTTAGAAACCCCAGAGGGGGCTAATATATTATATATCGGTTTAATATTACATCTAGGAGCATATATCGTCGGTCTTAATGCAAAACCAATACAAAATTTTTTAATATAGATATATTTAAATTACTTGATTACAACTAAAATATTTAATTTTTACCACCATGGAAAATTCCATGTTTTTTAAAAAATTATTTTTTGTGAGTTAGTCACGTGTTTTTTACACGCTTAAAAATTAATTGTCACTCGATAATTTTAAATGCGTAAAATTAATGTTAAAGTATTAGTAACACTTTTATATATTTTTATGGACAATATGAATGCAGGATTATTTTAGTAAAATTTTAACTGTTAAGCTAACTTACAATTATTAACAATCCTTATCAAATAATTATTGCAAATTCATTTTTTCCCCAAATTATGTTAAAAAAAAATTATTTATGCAATATGTGGTAAATTATAAAAAATTCTAAGAATACGTGGGTAAAACATATTCCGGTTCTTGCTAATGTAAGATTTTTCCTTTTACAATGTTCAGCGTTGTTTATATAAATCATCGACCATAAAAATTCTGTGATTAAGCTTAGGTTGTCATTCATTATATTCATTTGTAATTTTGAAATCTTTGTATCCCTAGTTTTATAACCTCTAATTCTTAAAGTATTTGTGTTAAATATTTAGTCATAAAGATTTTAACAAGTCTCCAAGCAAAATGGCAGTTGGCAAAAAATATCCCTCGATTTTAAGGCCCCTTTCAATCAAACCTATTCTAATAAGTTTTTATAATGATCGCAATCCATTTGAGATCTTACTAGTTTTACATTTTTAAAATGACAATATCTTAAAATCATCGATAAGTATAATAATATATAAAATTTAACGAATAGATTTTAAATATATTTCTAAATAAGATATAAAGCTATTTATATTAACTTACTTTAGAAAACAAAATTATCAATTGAAATAAAAAAATTTGGGGCTTGTATAAAAAACATTAGTAAACTCATAAATGGATAAAAAAACAATTTGAAAATTTTATCAGTAGACAGTTTTGCAGTAAGAGGTCGACGATATTTTCTTTTTTGGGGGGTCTAATGAATGATGAATTTAAAAATTATTTATTAATTTTGAATTTTAGGTGTAAAATATTCTAAATATTTTAGAAGGCTAATTGTTAATTAAACTAAACCACACTTTTATCACAAGCAATCGACGAGGGCCTCAATATCAACCATTGGCTACAATGATCCACCCACAGATTCTCCTAACAACAATATCGACTCAAAAAGGATCAATATCGCCTCATCCCCCACCAAATCGAATAGTATATTAGAAAAACCGGTCACCTATGTTGTTAAAGCCCTGTACGACTACACATCAACTCACGAAGGAGATTTGACCTTTTCCCGTGGGGATATCATTCACGTGACTTCTAAAAACGATTCTGATTGGTGGACGGGTAGAGCTATATCTACCAATCAGATTGGTCTATTCCCATCTAATCACGTTACGGCCGTATCCGTGGATACAGTTTCTAATCATTGAATAATTCCTCCCTCAGATTAAAAAAAATTAATTATGATTTGCTTTTTTGTCAAAAAATATCTGATTATTTATACAAAGCGAAATTTTCACATTCAGGGTTCAAAGAACAAAACACAATACAAACAAGAAGAGACTCTATGAAGATTGGGCTATTTAGTTAGAAGGTTTAAATATCCATTTCAAAGCATCTCATTTAATTAATAAATGATGAATTGATGGTCATTGGGGAAATTTTTTTTAAAAATAAAATGTAAAAAAAAATATTTTTGATTTTCATTTATTATTTTCCACGAGATGAAAAACTAATTATTTATTTTTTTTAAAAAAATTTATGACAAAAATATTAATAAGGTTATTGTGTTTATCTTTATTATATTTATATTTCACCTATGTATATCACTCTGCAAATGTAAACACCAACACCTTTAAAATTAACATAAATAATTTATTTATATCAATCGTAGTAAATTTTAATGTACATTTAAGCATGTAATATTATTGGCTTAAAGTGGTATAAATTAACTTTATAAAAAAAGGTTTGTAATATTTACCCTTTTATCGTAATAAATTCACTTTGATTTTGACTAGAAGAGATGTAATTACTATTTGATGTTTTTTTTATAGCTAATTTATTATTACACTTCTAGTAACAATAACATTTTTATAAGTTAATAAATTGGCTTATCGAACCTTGCAATATGTGTTTTTTCTTAAATATATGATTTTTAAGTTTTATAAACTCATTTATTTGATAATGAGGATCAAATGTTATTAAGGGCAGCTTATAACAAACTTTAGGTAAATTTGTTATAATCATAACCAATCTTTCTTCTTGATATTCAGATTCATGTGGAGTTATAAAACTACAATTTGTGACATGGAATCTAGTGATTTAGAATCTCAATTTTGAAGAGCTATAATTTACTTCTCTGGTATTTTATTCAATTTCTAGAATATATATTAAAATAATCAAAATAAAGAGCATAAAAATTAATATTGAGATTAGAAAAACTTGATTCATAACAAATATAATTGATTAAATAAAAAAATATCCACCAATCATCAATAGCATAGAGATTCCTTAGATTTATAAGATACAATATATAATATTGTAAAAGAATACCTGCAATAATTAGAGGTGGAATAACATTTTTGTTACCAAGATTTGTTGAATTATATATAAAAATTTCTGACAAAAAATGTATAAATGCCATACAAAAAGTTGAGAAAGTGATCCAGTACAATCTGAATTTTTATTTAATTAAATATTAATTGATTAATATTACATTTTATTTCTTATAAAAATGGCACAAGCTATTCTATTTAATCCAGCAATTAAGGTCCACAGGCCAAATAATCTCGAAGATAAATGGCTAGCTTTGATTAAAATTTGAAAAAAATACATAGAGATTTTCGCAATACCTTCTTTTGATTTAAGATTATATAATCTATTAATAACACTTGAGTCGTAAAAGCATTTAATAGATGTGATAATCGTTATAAAGCCTACTAAAGTAATCCAAGTTTGTAAAATATAAATAAACATGTGTAAACAATGTGAGATCAAATTATCAGAAAATAAATTGATAGGTGTCTTCTGATAAGTATATGATTTTTAGAAAAAAATGAAAATGCTTTAAAGGAGCTTATTATAGCAAAGATAAAATGAGAATTTGCAATTTCCATTGTTTTTTTAAAAAAAAATCAATACCTTGTCTAAGATTCATCATTATATAAGAGAAAAAATCGTGAATGAATGAATATTTTTTAGAATATGAATTAAATAAAAACCTACTCATGTACGATAAATATATAATTTTAGGCTTCAGCTAGAAAAATCCCCTTTTAAATTACATTTAAAAATATGATAGGAAATTAATTAATTTTTAATTATAATACTTTTATATGTTTTACAAATTATATATTAAATTATAAATAATATACTATACACTATCAAAAAATTGTGAATGAATAAATATTTTTTAAAATATGAATTAAATAAAAACCTACCAATTTTACGATAAATATTTTAGACTTACAGATGATAACCTACCTCCTTTTATATTAAATTTAAAAATATGTTAGGAAATTAATTTTTTGTCACAATTGAATGTAAATATTCTTAAAATCATAATTGGTACGATTGAATAAGTTTTATAAAATTATATTTTTTTAGTCATTATGTATTATGATTTTATTTTATAATTTTCAAGCGCGATTATGATATATATAATTTTTAAAAAATATATTTTTAGAATTTTTTTTATTAGTAATAGCTTCTATATAAAATGGAAGTAAATTCAAATGTAAATTCAATTATTTTTTTTTCCTTTTAAAATATATTATGATAATTTAATAAAGTTTAAAATATCAATATTTTCATGTGATTGTTTTGAGAAGTACATTCTAGTGAGTATTAATATTTTTGTGTGATTGTTTTGGGAAATACATTCTAAAGGTGAGGCGGACAACCCAATATGGTTTTTGTGATATTATTCAATGACTATGATTGCGTTTGTAATAAGATGTCTAGCAATCTATATATGTATATTTTTGGATACATTTATGAAAGGAGGGGGGGGATTTTATTAGCCTTTAATGATAATTTCGAGAACAAGCCAATTTTCTATAATGTGAGAAATTTCTCACTTCCTTACTATTGAAGAGTAGAGCCAGGTTTTTTATCTGGACCTGTACGATGCTTTCTAATCAGACTGGAGCACTGCCGATAGAAGTGATTGGTCCTAAAAAAAGACCTGTCCAAAAAAAATCTCTATTATATTTTATTTTATAATTTTTGTTTTTATTTAATACAATTCTTGCTTACTGAGACTTTAAGTAATTTCTTTAAAAAATATATGGTTTTCACAAAATAAAAATTTACAAAACTAAAATAAATCCTACAGAAAAATAACAAAATAAATTAAAAAATTACATTAATTGAATAATAAATTTCCAACAATGTTTTATAATTGGTGTTATTTTTCTCTATTATACTACGTATATTTTTTAGCTCTATATATTTTTTTTCACATAATAATTTGTGTAACAACGCCGCAAGCATTTGACTTTGAATTTTATATTTTTAATACTCCGGATAAGTCCTACTTTATTTTATTCTAGAGAATTATTTATTATTTATTTTATTATAGAAGATAAAAGGCCGATTTTAAGGTAATATATGATCATTATTTTAATTTTATTTTCAAATAAAATTAATTGATCTTTTGTGATTTTTGGGGTAATTATCTTTAACAACTAATCTAGAGGTGAACCGATCTTTTCTAAAGCGGACAATCAGTACTATGGTCCTCTAAAAGCATCCCGGTCTAGTCAATGGGATCAACCGTTGACTTCATTATTCCACGCCTTTAACTGCGTCTACATGAACCCTACTAATTACACCTTTTTACTTATAATGGTTGTCCCTACATTAATTCTAAAAGGTAAGATGAAAAAAATTATCCAGATATAATTTTGTTTCGAAAAAAATCTATATGATTGTATAAAATATATAGATTTGTTTGACTTTTAGCAATATTAATCGATTATAATAGGTCAATAAATGTATCAATTTTTATAGCAATACATTTTGCCCTTTTTCATGTATTATACAACCCCTCAAATTTACCCCACCCTTAACTTACCTCCAAACGCAGAGTTGGAAACGCTCATTGTAAACATTCATATGTTATAACAAACATCGACTTTTCTGTCAGATTGTACAGTTTTTTTCAAAACATGTGGCTGTCCTAAATTTTAAAATTCATGCGAACAATTTGGAATATTGTTATTAGAAATGCCAGGAAGAAATCTGTTATTATATTATCATTCATTTTAATTCAACTCTTTGCAATACATAGAATGTAATAATATATTTTCCAATTCATTCTTAAAATTGATATAGTTTTAATAGATATAATATGATAAAAAATAAAGGAATTTACGAAAGATGGGATAAAAGAATTGATTATAATTTTTTAAATAAGTTTTTTTAAAATTATTTTATATCAAACTAATTATATAATACAGAATTATTCATTTAGATTTGAAAGGAGCACCTTTGTCTTTATATTATCTAGCTCAAGTATTTATAGTTTGTTTTAATGATCATTGATATAAAACAATCACCAGATAATTCCCATTTTTAGCAAGCTTGGTGTGACAGGAATTTTAATTGAATATGAAGATATGTTTCCATATATAGGTGATATAGAAATAATAAGTCGTGATGATTGTTACAAGGAAGATGATATTCTTCAAATATTGAACATAACCAAAAATCATAACATTGAAATCATTCCTTTGGTACAAACATTTGGCCATTTAGAAGTATGATTTCTTAATTAACATCATTCCCTATTTATTTTTTTTGTAATATTCCATTTATTACCTGTAAGTTTAAGATAATAATATATTTTAAAAATAAAATAGTTAATGTTTTATGTATTAAATTTGATATAGATTAATTAATGAATGATATAATAAATGATTTTAGTAACAAAGATCTTAAGCAAAAAATAACCCCTAGTTATCACTATTATATATATAAGATTATGACGGATCACTATTATCTTTTTAAACAAATAAAACTCTTAGATATGAGTAAAATACCATAACGAAACTAAGAATCACCTATTAAACAAGCATAATTTATATAAAAATAATATAAATTCCTGTTTAGCCCTTCAATATGATTTAGAAAGTGTTTTTAAAAATTTTTTTTCATGGCTAAAATAAGAATCCTCGCTAATTATGGATTTAAAAAAATTAAAATAGATTCAAGTTTTTCTCTTTAATATGATTCAGAAAATGTAAAAATTAGTGGGATATTGAAAAGCACTATTTTAAAAACATATGTTTAGTAATGTGGTAAGTATACATATATGGTTATTATTGATGTTATGGAAATATATAATATATCATATATTATTTGCATATTATGAATTAGTATATTTGTTAATTAGATATATTTTATGATGATTATATGTATATTCATGATTAATATAATAATGGGTGATGGGTAACTACCTAACACCCATAGCATCTATTATAATGTGATATTTGGATCTATATATATTGTTATGGTTGTATAAATAAATGTAAGGAATATCCCAATTTTATATTGGCACAATCATTAAAATATGAATATTAACATTTTCTGAATCCTCTTGACAAATTATATGCCACTCTATATTCATTTTTTATGAGCCTTTCCAATAGAGAATTCTTAGTTTATTCATAAAAATATTTAAAATTAAAAAAAAAGGAGTTAATATTAACATCTTCCGAATCCTCTTGAAGAGTTATACATGATTCTATATTTTATTTTTTAATAAGGGATCTTTTAGTTTAGTCAAAAAAAATATAGTGTTTTTTTCAATACCACTAATTTAAAAAAAAAATTATAATAAATTTTTACATTTTCTGAATTAAATTCAATAGATAAACTTGATTCTATATTAATTTTTTTTAAAAATAATAGTCCATAATTTAGGGTTTCTTATTTTAGTCAAGAAATAAAAGAAGTTTTTTTTTGTTTTTTTTATTGAAAAGTTAAACAGGAATCCATATTATTTTCTTATATTATATTGATTGTATAGCAGATTCTTAGTTACCGGGGTAGCGTATTTTAGTCATTCCCATACTCATCATAACTCAATATTTTTTTAAAAAAACTAAATATAACAACATTCTACTCATACAATATTTCAATTAATGCCATTTACCTATATAACCATTTGCTTCCATCTTTCTTCTTGCTGCATACAATGCTTATTATGTTTACAAAGACTATTTTTTTTCTAAATTACCCATATCTTAACCGAATCTGCTCTTCAAATCAAGCAACATAAACTCCTTCCCCATTTCACCCAATTTTTAAATATCACACTTACTAAGCACCACCAAATTTGGACAAATTCTCCAAAAATTTTTTATTGGCAGGGCCTGAAAGTTTTAATTTTTGTAAAGCTTACAATTATGCAAATTTAAATGACTCTTTCTTCATAAAATATTATTATTGGATGGTTTAGGCAATTTGTACCAAGTTAATTTGCTGGTCATCCATGAGAACCTTGTGCTGACCTCTCAAAGTTGACATTTTCATTTATCTTGGTATTTAACTGATATAAATATCAACTATTTACAATTCTCTCGGTGGAATTTTATGTCATTTGATTTTTGGGTATTCCTTTTATAGAGGAATGTATATATATTCGATTTGGATATTTGATTAAGTTTGATTACCTCTACTTCTCCCTAAAAAAATTTAAATTATCATAAAATTCTATATTAGTTTTTTAGATACTTACCATTGCAATGTATGTGACTATCCCACCCACACCAAGATATAGGCTTAAATTTGAATTGATAATTAATTAGGGATATTAGCTAGAATATAAGAAGGTATGGATTATTTTTAAAAAATAGACATTTAGATTTAAAGTAAACCCAATGTTAAATTTTTTGGGAATTTTCGAGAGCATTGTAAAAAAAAATAAAATAATGTTATCATTTTATTATAGAGAATCCTCATTGTACTAAATAAAGACCTCATTTATAGTAAACGCGTTATGTCCAAGTGTCGCGTTTTTAACGCTATTGAAATCACAACTGATTTTTAATGGCGTTAATAATATTTGAAATATAAGTATAAGGCGTTTAATAAATAAGACCTAACTCAGCAGTCTTATATTTTTAAGGATACTTTTCAAATTTTTTTTAAAAAAATATTTCACTGTTTCTTGATAAATAATTAAATGCTAAGCACAGCTAAAAGCTCTTAAAATTATACTTACGATACTGTTAAACGGTTCAATTTGAGCCGATTTTTGGCTATCGAGCCGTTTAACAACATTAGAGCTAGCCAGGAACTAGGGAATTGAGGAGGGGGGTTAGATTAATAGGTTGATTTTTTTCACCATAAAATTTATTGGAGATCTTTAAGAACACCTAGTGAAGACATTTGGCTGTGTTAGTTATTTTAAATGATAAATTTGATTTTTTTCCCATTTTTTAATTATGGCTTTCTATTTTTCAAAGGAATCAGTGTTGAAATTATTCATAATACTTTTATTTGATATTTGATAAAAGTAGTTATCCCAAAGAAACGTTTTACATTTCCTGAATCTCCTTGAGGAAAAGTTAAACATGATTCTGCATTCATTTTTTAAAAAAAAATTAATGTATATTTACTGATGATGCGTAAGAACGCTTAAGTCAAATTTAAAAAAATGAATACTAATTGTTTATAAGTTCAAATGACACTTTCATTTCCCTGGCATTTATTAATATTAAACATTGATAATTTGTCATCTTTATATGGTAATAAATACGATATATTGTGTAAATTTATTTTATTTCTATTACTTATGTAAACTTATTAAAATGAATGTTTAAATAGTTATGTTTATATTAGCTTATTTTTTTATTCAAAGATATATAAAAATATATATCTATCCGCAAGTGGGCGCGATATATTTAAATATTATTTTTTTACACCAAGGAAAATATTTAAATTTCGCTTTCAAAAATTAAATAATAAAATATTAAAAAAAAATTAATGATTCAATATGTTATCATTAAAAAAAACTCAATATTAAATTAAAAATATATTTAATAAAGAAAAACATTAAAAAGAAATTAAAATTTTCATGTTTTATATTCACTATGGTAAATAAAAATAAAATAGCGCGCTATTAATTATCTAAACTAACATAAATAGAACGCTACAGCGTGCTACTTTAACAACCCTGGAATTAACCCATTAAAGATCTGCAAATTTCGCCCGAGCCCACCCGACAAATTTTTACAAAAAGTCAAGCCTTGACCATTTGAAATTTTATCAAAAGTCCTGACCATCCCTTAAAATATATTTTTTTTGTAAGAATTTTCCGCCCATCACATTTTTAATATCTATATCTAATTCTTTTTTTCCCCCCAATATCAATTAAGGCCTTTATATCTCTTCTCTATAGATGTGGCTATCTATTTCCAACAACCGTTTTATAATAAAATTGTGTTTGAAATCTGTCCATTGGGTTATGTTTCATAATAAACAAGATTAGTAAAATCATCAATTATTTTAAATATAATTAATTCAAACATCTAAAAAAGTTATCCAGCAAGGAAATCCACAGGTCCTACATTATATTGTTAGGTCACACAATCGAAAATGTAATCTCCATAAATAGTATTCTTAAATTTAATTCTCTTTCTTCATCCCAAAAATTTTACACTTTCTTCACCAATTTTTAAGTCCTATGAAGATCATTTAAATAAATTTTGATTTTTTTTTAAAACTAATTTACTATATTTCAACATTCTCTCAATGATACTTATTTTGGTGCATATTCATGATAATTGTTTTTTAATATATTAATTTAATTTATAAATTTTTATTCAAAGTTTGTACTTAAACATCCTCAATTCAGTCATCTGAGGGAAGTCCCCGAATTTTCCGACACGATATGCCCAAGTAAGGGCGAATCATTCCAACTCATTAAAAAAATGATCGACCAAATAGTTCAATTGCACCCCGGGATCAAAAGCTTGCACATCGGGGCAGATGAGGTTTGGATTAATTGTTTATTATATTGCGATACAATAACATTTGATGATTAGGGCTTGTACCGATATTTTTTGCTGATATTGAAATTAGAGATCTGCAAAAGTAGGTGTTGTATTAGAATGATAAAGATTCATTATATTTTAAATGATTATTATTTATGGTTGTATAAAATTAATTGTATTATAAAGGATTATAATATATATATATTACGAACCTGTTGTTAGCCATGTATTTTGTTTATTTTTGTGGAAAAAGAAAAATACAGTGGCAACAATGGAAACTTCTTAGAATATGCTACTGTTTTAATTTTGTATTCTTTTCCTTCGATTCCTGAATTTCGAATCCTGGTCACGGCACCATTAAAAATGAAAGTACATTAATATGAAAGTAAATTAAAATGAACACAAATTAAAATGAAAGTAAATTAAATTGAAAGTAAATTAAAATGAACGTAAATCAAAATGAAAGTAAATTAAAATGAAAGTAAATTAAATTGAAAGTATCCTTAAATTGAAAGTATTTTTACCTTTATTAATTATATATTTTCTTTGTCTCTTCTCTAATTTATGAATCTTTATTAATTATATATATTCTTTGTCTTTTCAATAATTTATAAATCATAAAATTTTCTTCCTTTTCAACAAAAATAAAATAATGAATCTCCTTTTCCTTTGTTGCCACTGTATTTTTCTTTTTCCACAAAAATAAACAAAATACATGGCTAACAACAGGTTCGTAATATATATATATATATTATATAATCCTTTAAAATACAATTAATTTTATACAACCATAAATAATAATCATTTAAAATATAATGAATCTTTATCATTCCGCTTGGAATTATAAAATATGGAATAACATGAAATTAAAAATGATAATAAATAGAAGTCTGTTCTGCTCATTTCGACGTGGAAAAAAATATTTAAAATTCATCCGCCCAATGTTTAAGATTTTTTAGAAAGCCCGCTCACTCACACCCGTGGGAATGGGCGGGCAAGCAAAAACTCCAACTCTTCGCAAACCTATATTCTGATTATTTTACAGCGGCTCTTAAATTTTATTTCTCTTAAATTATGAGATGGTAGTTAAAATTTAACATATCTATATGTTTTTTTTTTATTTGGCCCTTTAAAAAAAAAAAAATTGATAAGGTTTATCATATGGGAAAATGTCAGCTGTGTTCGAAGCTGGTGTATCCCGACGATAACCGACAAATTGGCGGTCAATTCAAAGATTTATCCATTAGCTTAGACGAGATATTCTTGAATCACATCCTCAAAATAGTCAGGTACATGGAGGCCTCCTATCCCCACATCAAAATTTTGATTTGGGACGACATGTTTAGGCACATACCTCGCGACGTTTTAATACGTATATAAATGATCGAATTTTTTTTTGACAGTTTCGTATAATATAATCCCAATTAGTGTTGATAAACGGCTCTATTTGAGCCAGAAAAATATTGCGCCTAAGCCTAGAGATTTTACTGATGGATATCCATCCAAACCCTTTATGCTATCTTATGGACCAATTTTTTTTAGACTAGCGTGATATTGTTCTTGGCTCAAATCTAGCCGTTTGTTTGACGACACTAATCCCAATGATTCGAAATTATGTTTGAATATCGTTACGCTACTTAACTTTATTGAAATTACTATTCAACTATACTAGATAGGATGGAATGGAAGCACCGATTTTTAGCTCATTTTATTTTGGTCTTAGAAAAATATTATTGACAGTTAGGGTTCCCCTTACAGCTAAGTAAGATTCTTTATGCATACACGTGTACCGAAATTATAAAATTTCTATCGTTTCCGGCAGCTTATAGTATGTTATGGATGGCTAAGTTAACTATTTTACCCCTCCCAAAATGACCGACTAATGGCAAACCGGGGGGGGGGAAGTTAATACATATATCGGTTAATAAAGCGTGAAGTTTACTATTTAAGAAGCAATTTTTATTTTTATTGAGCGGAATTTGTCTTGAGTAAAAATCTCAAAAATTAAAAAAAATTTTTTTTTTCATTCGAGATAGGAATAGATAATCGATAAAAAATTTTTCTTTCTTTTTTAAATATTAAAATCTCTGCTCTGAACTCGTGGTTTGCCGAAGCCAAAGTTGGGATGAAAAGTTAAAATCGCCTCAAATCGAGTCATTTAGCAACACTAAATAAAAAATAGCAGAGTTGTTAAAAGATACTTTTTAAATGTATCTAGATACAGATACATCGTCTAAAATAATATTTAGATACCGATATTTTAATCAAAAATCTATCTAGATACAGATACCACATTTTTACATCTGGATACAAGTATCTAGATCCTTTAACAACTCTGAAAAATAGTATTAATTTATTTTTCTAATGTAGCATATATGGATTTTATTGTATGAATTTTTTAAGAAAAATGACATGGGTAAAAATTAGTGTTGTTAAACGGCTCTATTGCAAAAACGGTTAACCCAATATTTTAGTCCTAAAATATTACGCGATCCTCAATATTTAGTTAATAGATGTCCCAAACCCTTCTACCATTCTATATGCAAGATCTCCGGGCTTGAGTGATAGTTTTAGCTAAATTAATGGGTCTTTGCTTCTATGGACGCTTTGTCACCGTCATATTATGAGTGCCAAGCGCAGGAATTGAGAAAAAAATTATCTCTTTAAAATTTTTAATTTAAATTTATTTACCGAAATAAAGGTTCCAAGCTAGGCGATAAAATCGAACTGGTCATGTGGAATTACAGACCGAATATCCTCCAGGACATACCTCCTCACATATTCGATAAAAATTTTGCCACTTTCAGACACATTTGGGCGGCTTCGGCATTTAAAGGTGTTACACATTTATATATATACTTATATGATTCGTGTAATTATGGTTCCTTTTGTTTATTCTTCTCAGTTTTAGAGACCTTTGTTAGCATTGGATTTATGTTGCCATAATTTTTTTTTAAACATGTGCAACAAAATTTAAATTAAAAAAAAAACAGAGTACCACGAAAAAAAGAGAGAATTTTTAATATTTGTCCTCATTTAATTTAATCTTATATCAATAAACTTAGGTTTTTTTTAAAAAAAATTGACGGTTGACAAAGTTAAGATTATATATGATGTGTGCCAGAATCGGTCTGTTAACATTTTTATATATTTTCACGGGATACGGAAATAATTTATATATTGATATTATTCATATCAAGAAAAAAAAAACTATTTAGCAAGGTGTATTAAAATCATTTTTTTTAAATATATTTTAAATCCATTTTTTAAGGTGGAATTTTTACGTGCTCATGTATTATATTATAGTTGGATATAATATTATATTTGCGACTAGTCATTCAGAATCAGAACTAATATTTAAAAAAACAAATTCCGGATTTTTTTAAAATATATATATTTTTAATATTTATAGCTAATAATGGCGATTTAAAATATAAGATTTTAAATTATACCACCCAACCCGGGAATATTAAAAATATTAAAATACGGCCCGGCTCGTGTACCTGCAGGTCACTAATATTTGATTCAATAACAACATTTTAATATAAATTTATGATACCTTATAAAAATTTTAAGTTATAATTTTGCAAAAAAAAAAAATTTGAGTTTTTACTTTGATTTAATTTTATAATAAATTCATAAGGCTTAAAAATTTTTTCTTCTTATCCATTTTAAGGCTGATTTCATATTTATAAAAAGAAAAGAAATATTTTGGACGTTCTTTTTAAATAAAACTTAAAATAGAAGAGAGAAAATTCGAGAAATGTGCAAAAAAAAATTGTAATCTTTAAGTTCGAGGATTGTATCGAAAATAATGATATGGAGGAAATACCGACCCAATGTTCGATTTTATCTTTAAGGTTTCCCTAAAAATTATAATAACAAAAAAATACGTGGTTCATTTTTCTACCATTATTAGGCTCCACTTCCAATATTATTGTTGGAGGAAATCTAATGATAATCCGATAAAAATCAAAACTTTTTAATATATGGAAACGATGAATTAAATAGATGTTAAACGATTTTTTTTTAATCTTCCTTTATGACAATGATAAAATAAACATTAAAAAAATTGTAATCTTTAATTTCAAGGATTGTATCGAAAATAATATATGGAGGAAATACCGACCCAATGTTTGATTTAATCTTTAAGGTTTCCCTAAAAATTATGATAACAAAAAATACGTGGTTCATTTTTCTACTATTATTAGGCTCCACTGTTGAAGGAAATCTAATAATAATCCGATAAAATTCAAAACTTTTAAATAGATGTTAAACAATTTTTTTTTAAATCTCCCTTTAATGACGACAATAATATAAATAAACATTAAAAAAAATTGTAGGAAACGGGATTCGTTTTCTCTTATCTAAATTACGTTATTTTTTATTTCCAAACCCCGCAACCAACGTGTTATTTTTTCTTTGAGCGCGTTTTTAAGAATTTAAACAGCTGATTTTACCGGAAATGAATTCCGCCATATATGGGAATACTTACCCTATGAATTTCAGACAATTTTTCCGCGAACTTTTAAACCCAATATAATTTATAATATATTTTTTTTTTAGATGACTTATAAATGACTCAAAGGTTAACAATAAAATTGTCCGAAATTAATAAGAAAGGTACATTTCCGGTAAAATTAAATTTTTAAATTTAAAAAAAAGGCGCTCAAAAATGATTTAAAGTTGTAAAAGTAAACACATTGTCGGAAAAAACATTGCAAATTTAATTTAAAAAAATATTAAAATCTTTTTAAATATTATTATTTTTTTTAAAAATAAATAAATAAAGGTGCCACTGGCGAAAATGTGCAAATAACTGACATAAGCTATCATTTGGACAATAATTATGATTGGATTAACGTGATGTATCAGAAAGACTTGCCCGGAAAAGAGACTGACAGAGTCAAAGGAATCATAGTAACTGGTTGGCAGAGGTATTATTTTTTTTAATGAATCGTATGTTAAATCAGAGTTTGGAACATGAAATGAAACCATCGGAACCGGGCAAAATTTAGGTAATAAGGAACCAGAACCCATTTTGAAATTTTTAGAAAACCGGTTCTATACAGGAAATAGATGCAATTCATTGGTTATATGATTTAAGTGCTATTTAATCATTTCGCTATTTATTTTTTTTTAATAATTGAAATTAAATATTTGCTATGTTTTAAGTTGATTAAATGTTAGAAGCTTTATTATTAAAAATACTATGTATTTAGTCCTCATTTATAATAAACGCGTTATGTGTAATCAGTGCGTTGTTTAGGCTGCGTTATTTAAATCAATCCAATAAATAAGTGTAATTTATAAATATGGAGCGTTATGATGATGACCGATAAAATTTCAAAAACATATGGTGACACGTATATTTGAATTATTATTACTACGAAGAATCTCAGCTGTGATTTTGATACCGTTAAATAATGCATCATGATGCGATCTAATTGAACATCGGGATTTCGCCATATTTTTTTTAAAAAAACGTAAAGCAAAGCATCCCTTGTTTAAATTGAAGTTGCCTTTATTATAAATATCGTCGATTTCTAAAGAAAAGAATTTGTTTTTGTAAATTATATTATCGTCTGCCCATTTTATTTCATTAATTTCGAAATATTCCATTTTAAAATATAGGTAAGTTATATTTCATTACATTTTATATAATATTTCACATAAAAAACAAACCAGTTTTACGTTTTTTTTTGAAATGGGTGCAAACGCAAAGCGTTAATTTGACCAATTTGTACGATACCATTTGAAATGCCTTTATACGCCGCTAGCAACGCAGACGATAAAACGCTCAATTTGTGCGCACTTTAATTAATATATAATTCAGTTGTTTTAAAATGTTGGTGTCATCCATTTTTATAAAGTTTATTTTGTTTAAATTTTTTTTTTGATTGAATGAAACAAGAATGTGAACCCTTCGACAAACAAAAGGGACCGGGTCCAGAGTTAAAAAAAATTAAAGACATTTCAAGATTCTAGCAATTAATAACCACTTATTTTTATAACATATAGTTCGAATTTAGAATATGAACCCTTTCCGGTTCAGAGCCCAACCTAAAGTGCCAAAATATTTTTATTATCACTCATTATATAGTAAACTACAAACTAAATATATATATAATTAAGATACAATCATTTTAGACCATTGTGCGAGCTAATGCCTTCGGGACTACCTAGCTTAATGGCTTGCCTAATCCTACTCACGCATAATAAATTCGATAGGAAGCAACACGAAGATTTATCCAGCCAAATTACCGATTCGCGATATAGACAATCACGATTAATACCCAATCTCAATCCTTTCGATTTCAAGTTTTAAAAAAAAATATATTTAATATCCGAGTACCCAATTGAAGCCCTAAATTTACCTCCAACCCCTGTAACTTTTAGCTTTTCCGGTCTATAAATTTTAAAAGATGGATTCCAGTTCTTATATTTGTCTTGATTGAGGATTTCCTGTTCCAATAATCCAATAAAAACTCAATTTTGCAGTTATAATAAATAATACAATTTAAAACAAACGTCGAAGCGAAAAAGATTAAGTTTGATCAATTTTAAGAACTAAATTAGGTGAGTACAATAGTATTTAAGTTAGCCCTTTTTATGTTTTTTTGAAAGAATTTCTTTAATATTAGCTCTTGTTTATTTAATAATAAAAAAAATTCTATATTTTTATCCCCATATTTTTGTGATTTTGTCACACTCTTCTCTTTCGGAATTTTAATGATTTTTTTGATTGTTCAAACAAAACACTCGATTGTATTTCAGTCCCACTTTAATAACAAACAAAATAACACGTAACTTATATTAAAAAATATATAAAAGACAATAAAAACAATATTTAGGATAAGTTAATAGGACATAAGGGATCCGTGGATTGAAATGCAAGGGAGCAGATTAATTGAGATCCTCTAGGGTAAATAAAATAATAAACCCTCATGGGGGCGCCTGCAATTATTCTAAGCTTTTTTCTATAGTTTCAAAAATAAACGAATCGAGACATGAGGTCCGAATGAGCCATGTCGGGAACTATGGGAACATTTAGAAAGATAGTTTAGGTTGTTTATATTTATTGGCCTTTTAAGTGGAAAAGAATAGAAAAAACTTTTGCTAAACCGGTTCACTCAAAATTTTTTTTAAAAAAAAATTAAATTTATTACAATCTTTTTTTTAAAAACCTAACGAAAATTTATACATTTCACTTAATTTCAAAAAGTCAAAGCCGTCTAATTAATATCGCCGAAGGTCTAATTTTTCCTGGACACGAGATATATTCCATGGTTAGAAGCAATTACAATCTCGCTTACAGCCTTATGGCCCTCAACACGCGAATGTAAAAAAAATTAACATTTTAATAATTCCTATTCATAAAGCGATTCTTCCAAACAATACGTTTTTTCTACTTCTTTAAAACGGTTAAAAGAAGCAGCCAGTGTTCTAGCTCGTTCTCTGGAATTAAGGCAGGGTCTTTGCCAAAATCTTAGCCACTTTTCCGAGTAGGATTGATCTATTCAGTAAGACCGACAAACAAGAACATAGCCCCGCGGCATATTAGATAATAGTTTATGAGAGTGTGTAAGCTATCGCTTTTCAGGGCTTTTTTTTAAACTTAAATATCCGAATTTATTTTGAATTTTTTTTTTTATTATTAATATATTATATAGCCACGAAAATAAAGTCGAAGATGTTGACGAGTTCAAATCGCTTTTATACAAGTTAAAAGATTCGAATTTTTCTTTTTTAAATAAAAAAAAATAGATGAAAGGTTTTTGGTAAAATAAATCGGCTTATTATAGCTAAACGGAAGGGAATGAAGAAAAAAAAGGATTTTTTTTTATAAATTAAATTATTAATCAAATATAGAGCTTAAAGAAAACCTGGACTAAATAAAGTGTTTCCCGTTCTAAATATATATAAGTTTATGATGGTTTCTGAACTTTTTAAACGTTCGGTTATTGAATTTAATCGGGTTTTCGGGGTTTCGGCCTGTTCCCGTTTTGATGTCCGAAAAAAGGTTCCATTTGCTATAATTTAGAGAGGGTTTATAATCAGAGGCATTTGCCTGATTGGCGGAAAGGGGGCTACCATTTTTTTTTTAAATAAGAAATGTATAAATTCGATTTTTTTTAAAAAAAATTGATAATAATATGAATAAATTCTTTAATTAATATTATATAACAAATTTAAGGAACCGCCGATATCTATACAGATTAAAAATTATTTCCAAAGATTCTTTATTTCTCCCGTTTTCTTTGGGTTGTAATTTTTCATATTTTCTGATACATGGATCATATCCATTCCGAATCGAGGGTCCGTTAATATGATAACTAACATTCATTGAGACTATTATTCACTCTTAAGGTCGTTCGTTTATCAGATTCAAAATTATCAGATGAGATTCCTTCCACATTTGGTTAAATAGGATATAAAGAATCCACTCAGTTAAGGAATTTTTAAATTTTTCGTTAAGGAATATATACATCGGTAAATTGGTTCGAAGCCCATTCATATTAATTTAATTTTGAATCTTTGGCAATTCGCTTTTCGCCAAATCGCGCAATAAATTATTTTTATTAAAATTTATTCAAGTCATTTTAACCTGGTTTTCAAAGGCCATCCATTAGACTGGACTGCATGATGCTTTCTAGAGAATTCATATATTTTTCTATATTTACATTTTTTTATTTTATTAATCGTATATAATTTTTAAATAAAAGTCAATCGAATGTAAATATTTACCAACCTCGTAAGATCGATTTATCTTAGCAACCAACAACTCTATTTGAAAATTTTATATTCCTATTTAAACATTTTAAAAGATTTTGTTAAAAATTGGACTATTTCTTGCCTGAAGTTACCGATTAATCGGCTAAATCCTAGCAGTCAAAAAAAATCGCTAACTTTGAGACAGGCGTATATTTTCTTCAAGATGGTTATAGGGAGAAATGTGCACTGAATGGCCATTTTTTTTGCTTTTTTGAAAAAAAAGATATCAAGATTTGGGTTTAAGTCAAAAAAATTTTGTATCAATGTGTAATCTAATTATCAATCTTTAAAATAAAATTTGAATCAAAGCTCTATCTATAATAGTTTATGAACTAGATTGTTATGTGAAAGTTGTCTTTCTGGACAGTCAAAACTTGGTATGTATTGACTGGCCATAATATATTATTTAAGAATTTTATTATTTATATGAAACATTACAATACGAAATACTTGCAAAAGACCTATCTTATATATATCCTCATCTTTTAGCTATATAAAAATTTAATTATGCACAAATTTAATTAGTATTAACATCTAAATTTATCAACATCCATTTAATGATAATATTTTATAAATTAAATCAAACATTCTTATTTCAATATAAAATTAATCGCTATATATTTATTGTAAATTATTATCTTAATTATCTTACATGAATATTTGTAAAAGACCTATTTTTTCATATTTAGGTAATTAAAATTTAATTATCTAATTTAATTAGCTTTAACATTTAAATTTATTATCATCTATTTAATATATTTTATAAATTAATATCTTAATTATTTTGTTAAACATTCTTAATTCAATATAAAAATTAATCACTATCTATTTAATAATTTTTTAAATTATTATCTTAACTATCTACTTGTTAAAGGGATTTTTCAACAATTTAATCATTCATGATGTTTAATAAACTTGATTAGACAATTATTGCCTAACAACATTAATGAAAACCATTTTATTAATTTATAAATGAAACAATTATAGTATCTTTATTTACATATATAACAAACAAATAAATCATTGTTATTTGTACATTGAGTATGAGGCCCATTCTTCTCATTTCAGGCATTTAATCCACTCTTCACCTTTCTTGCTCTTTGAATACGCCTTCTTACATATTATGCAAAGCCACTCATCTTGAGTTTTCTTTAGATTTTTCTTTTTATTGTTTTTTTTAAAATATTTGATAATTTATGTTTATTATATGGTGATGAGGTCAAAATTTCTGATTTCTTTTTCCTGTTGTCTCTTTCGATAATATTATTATATAAAATTGGATGTGGTAGAATAAATTGTGAATTAAAATTATTATTGGACTGGTTGCATGATTGTTAAGTTATATAACTCATGATTAGAAGTGGTAGGCATAAGACTATAAGTGGAATTTATTGAATCATTTTCAGGATCACAATAAGGTAATTTTCTCACTGCCAAAGGAATATTGGATAATTCTGACATATTATCATCATTAGATATTAAATAACTATCTTGGGTTGTAGGGATATATCCCACAGGCTAAAAATCCATTCTGAATATTTTTGGGGGTTTTAGCTTTAGGAAGCTCCATTTTAATAATTGATGGTATGTCATATATAGTAAATGATTTCCCTATACGTCCAATTATCAATACTGTTATTATAAAAAAATTTAAATGGGCCAAAGACTGATTTATCAAGGGGTTGTAGCTTGTGGGAGCTGTGTGGTGGTATGGTGAGCATAATTATTCCATTTTCTCTGCAAAGATCTTATTGATCTCAGTGAGCAATGTGAAGAATGATTGTCTAATATTAATAAATTTTTATTTGTTTTGGATTCTTTTGTTAGTTTGCAAAAATGAGTTTAAAATGTCAGGAATTCATTTTCCTGCATCCACCCTGATCCATTTCCAGCATCAATACAACCTGAATGAAGTAAAATATAAATAATAAATGTGTATAAAAACCTATAGGGCCATCTCTGATAATCCAATCTTTGTATCGGATTCTAGGAAATAGTAACATAAAGGAATGTTATTTCCAATTGCATTTATAGCTATAGCAATGGATCCTCTTTAACCTGAGGTTAAAAATCCTACCTGTTTCATGCCCATCTCTCCAATAACTTTACTAGGATCTCAGTGGTTATTCCTATCTCATCCATGTTCCATATGTCTTGTGGTTCAAATTTATATTCATCCATTAGAGATTTTAAATTATCAAAAATTTTTTTGACACTGTAGGGATTAAAGCCTCTAGCTCTAGCCAAACTTGCTGCTTCAGTAGTTCTTAAGGATAATGTAGAATATCTATGTTTGAATCCTTTAAACTAATCCATGCCTGCCATTCCATCACGGGTCCAACTTTCAGGAAATTTTAACTCATATTTTTTTGCTAGATCATGAGCTAATATTCTTATCTAATATTTAATATATAATTAAATTCTTTATAATATAAATTATGCCTGTTTTATGCCAAAACCCATGAGAGATTTGCTAGCCTGTATTATATAATCTTTTAAAACGTCCTCCTGAGCTCTGGTGATTATTAACCTATTTGATTGCCATCCCATATGAGGATATTGCAAAGTCTCTTTATATTTATTCATTGTTCTTCTTAATGTTGTTCTTGGAATATTATACTTAGTAGCTGTTGATAATGTTGATCTTTTACTAATGATTATATCATCAATTGCCATTTTAATTTGTTCTCACTTGAATTTGCACCAAATATTCTTTTCTTTTAAATATGAATGTATGAATTCTGGCCAGTCAATGCCTGGCCAGATAAGACTCACCTGTCTATTATTATTCCTTTATATGCTTATTAAATAAAGCTTTTAAGGTCTAATTTTTTATGCGAATAATGCTAAATGCCTTAGGATATTATTTATATAAATTAGTAATTTTTTCACAAAAAAAAAATGTGTAACATGATTTTTCCAGAAAGAGGTATTAAAAAGAGTTTATTTGAAATATTTTTTTATTGGATGGCTCTATTCAATGAATGAACTTAGGTAAGGTACATAACATAAATATAATATACAAATTTTTACCATTTTTGAGAGAAATCGATCAAATAGATAAAAAGTTAAAGGGTCGTGGCCAGTCTTCAACCATGGCCGTTTATGGCACATTCCCCCTACTTTAAGTTAAAGCCTTGATAAAGAAAATATCATATGATAGTAAATGCTTAAAAAAAATCGGTTTGACATTTTTAGATTTGACTCAAAAACCTGTTAAAAATGGAGCTATTTATCACCACTACATGTAGGTGGTGAACCTCAATCTATACTTTGAATACAGAGTCTGCGCCGACTTTATCAAAATTTCTATGAAAAATTTTGTAAATTAAACCTTTTACTTCTCCATCTTCTGATTATATAAAAAAAAATATGAAAATGATTTTTGACCACAAAATTTTTAATTTAAAAAAAAAATAATATGTAGAAAAGGGGAATTTAAACTTAACACTTTTGAAGAAAAAAAAACAGAATTTTTGGCGGGAGGCAGGGAGTCTCACTAAAAGACAAAAAATTATCTGTGGAAGGGGACTTCGCAACCGTAACCCTCTACTACTTCCTGTTCTTAAAATATTTGACCCGGTTGATAATAACGAGAATAATATTTATTACTTTTTTAAAAAAAAACAACATTGTCTTAATATTTAAATAGGTGAATTAATGTGGTGGAATCTCTAAAATTAAGATTTTGATCTTTACCTGCCGCTGTACACTATTTTTACATGATGCGTATTTTAAAAAAAAACTAAACACATACGGAGCTTAATGTGGGCATGATTATTTAATTACAAAAAATAATAATCTTTTTTTTTAATGGCAGCTGGCCCAGAGGGTTGGGGACCTTGATTGAAGAAGCGAGGTAAGCTTAACGATCGAGAGTTTATCCTAGGTAGAATCAGTATTTTCTCTTGAACCAACCTTCGGGCGGGGTTAGGATTAAGGTTAAAAAAAGGGTCGCCAGATAAAGAGGAGTTGGGTTGATATTTAAATTTGGTATTTGTTATACGGTATCCCGAAATGTGCACTATCATTACCTTTGAAATTTATAAGCTTATTCTATTTTATAAGAATTATCATAAATATTTATATATATACTTTTTTTTATATCGCCCCAAGTATTAAAGATGAATTTTCGCGACAAAAATCGTATATTAATGGACCAGAATTTTCAAAATATTTTCACTCTGTATCGACGGGGTTAGAATGGATCGAAACATTTATCCAACCTTATTTAGATAGAATTGATCACATTTCATCGATTTTATAAAATACACCCCTATAAACATTTGTTAATTTATTTATATTATTTTTTGACAAAATCATTTGTATATTTCGAAATCGCATTCATGTACAAATAAGTCTATATCTAATTTATACAATTTATTTCAATTTTTAGTGTAATAATATAATTAGATAACTTATTGATTAAAATCTAGCTCTCGAAAATCAAAGACAGCTGTCTAGAATGAAATGAGACATGTATATAATTAATTTTACAGGTCTGAGCTTTATATGATATGACATCTAGACAAGGGAATGTATGCCGTTATGTCTAGGTTACGATTCTGGTGGCAAATATTTTTACAATTAGCAAAATTTGTTGATTCTTCTGGTTTCAATATCCTTTACTCCCTGAAATTTGACTACCGTAACAATAATTCTCATTTTTTAGAGCTTATTTTACTATAAACTAAATTTTTTAAGTTCCATGCACAGGTACAGCTTGAGGCCTGCACTGACTGTAGGCTCGGGTCGGGCTTGAATATTAAAGACGTTTCTTGGGCTCGGATGGGGTTGTAAAAGGTATCCCGACATGAAAATCAAGCCTAATTCCAACTTTCCCCATTTGAAAGAGGGGGGGGCAGACAAAATTTGGGGAAGTTAACAAATTTTTTAAATACCTTAGAACGAATATTTGAGTTATTTGAACACAAAATTGAAATGTACTTTATGATTTTATTTGAAAAATATCACATATAAAAACATATCAAAAAATATAATTATGATCAAATATGTTTATATAATTAGAAGGAAGACAATTGACTTATAGCTGGAAAGAAATAAGTTTATTTAATGATCTTACAATAATTAAATTATAAAACATGTAACTAAAATTATTTACAATGATTTATGATCAATAATTGAGCAGTGTAAAATAATAATATAATTTTCGTTCAAATGTATTTAAAATGCTTTAAAAAAATTGGCGATTAGTTTCATGTCCTAATAAAACCAAATTACCATTTCATATGTCCTATTCGAAAGTCTATTAATTTTTCCCTAGATATTTAATATTTAAAATAAAATTTTAAAATAATTTGGTCGAGGTGGGACAAATTTTTTTTGTTTTTTTTCGGGCTCGGGCAGCAAAAAATAACTTAGCAGGGCTCTAAGCCCAACTTCCCAAGGTATGGCTCATCCATTTAGTATGATGTAAAAGTAAGTAAGGGAAAAAAAAATTGAGACATTATTTGAAAAGAATTACCAATAATAGGGACGGTCAACCCTGAAGGGGTAATTAATAAAAAATTAAAGCAATGTGAACTTTAGGAACGTTCCAGACATACTTCTAACATAACAATATGATAACTTTTTATTTTCAGGAAGATAATTCTAGATCCACTCCGTGCAGGATAGACTTTTATAAATCTTTTGTGATTTTTGTAGCACTAAAATCTTTCACGATAAAATAATATTAAAAAAATTCTCATTGCTCAAATTTTAGGGTAGGAAAAAAAATATATTAAATATTTATTGAAGATCATTCTTTTATAATCGCGATAATTTTTTTTAGAAAAGAAAAATAAAAATCTAAATAATATTTGAAAATATTTTAGGTTACCTTAAGATAAAATAAATAATACATCATAATTTTATAACTTGACAAAAACACAAAACAATTTCAAGGGATTCTGTTTTCATTTGTACATATAAAATTTCCCATTTAATTATTCAAAGTATTTCAACATATCTCTTAATGATTCAAATTGAAAGTAAAACATCGCCAGGATATGGAATACGATAATATTCTATGTCGTGGGTTCTAACTATCTCATTTAGTGAATCACATATGAACACATTTAGATGGGACGTTAAGGATTTTCGAAAATATACATTGTCCCAAGTAAAAATATATTATTTTTACCTTTATATAAGTTGAGCGAATGTTAATTTTCCCTACTAAAACTAAGTGGAAGAATCAAAAAAATTACAGGAGTTTTTTATTTCTGGGACACCATGTTAATATGGTGCCGAAACGTTTAAGAAAATTATTATTAAGGTAAAATAAGTTTTTATTATATTTCTAAAATAATTATATTTCACTTTTGTAAAAAAAAACATTTCTGGTAATTTATATAAAATTTTTTATTACCAATTGAATACGAAAATATATAAAGTTAGTTTTACAAAAATAAAAAATGAGACAATTTTTAATAGCTACACATAACTGATTTTTAAAAAATGGCTAACTCAACATTATAGTTAGGAAGATACTGCCCAAACATCGAGATTTCGCCAATAGTTGTTTAATCCTATGCGCCTGCGCCATAGATGAGCAAAATCTTTTGACTTGCATAATATTTTTCTGGATAAAATATTAAGCTAGCCGTTTTTAAAAATGGGCTCAAATTGAGCCGTTTAACAACATTAGGTTACACAAGATAATAAAATATAAGATAGTTTTTTTTTTTACAAAAATAAGAATAAGAGTATAAAAATAATAAAAAAAAATTAAGGTCAACACAAAGTACTTTTGTGATTAATTTATTAAAATAACTCAAAACTCTAATTTTGGAATTCAACAGAATGTAATCTTTTAGATAATCTATTTGTTGTGATATTCATGTAATCAAATTCAAATTGTTTCAGATGTACTTGTAAACAAAAAAAAAGAAATAGCTTATTCAAATTATTTGGATATTATTGCAGACTATGTAAATGAATATTTAAGAAAAGATATATAATTAATATTTGGTAAATAATATACCACTTTTCTAAATTTTGGAATTTTATCCATCTTCTTTTTATTTTTTGTTACTTTTTCCTTTTATGTTAATTTATAATTAACCCCTCCCCATATAAATCGAAGTATTGATTCCTCCCCACATTAAATCAAAGTTGTAATTCTCCATCATCAATTCAACATTTCAACACGGGATATGAATGGCTTTAGGCTTTCCCTAGCTCCAACCTTGGTTTGCTTCTTTCCAAGGAAAAACTTCGGATACGAATAGATCTTCGTTTAGGCAATGATATCGTCACACCCTCATCTTGCAAACAGTGTCCGCTCCCTATCGAGAGTCTAGGCCATCACACTCTTCATTGTCGTTTCTCTAAAGGCCGCTATTTACGCCACCTGGCAATAAATTCAATTATTGCTAGAACTCTCCGTTCAGCTAATACATCAACTTTGGAACCTGTATGTCTTAATCTCGAGGACAATATCACAGACGGAATGACTCTTATCATATGGAGTAGAGGAATCTCGCTAGCCTGGGATTATACATGCGTTGATCGAATTGCACCTTCCTTTTGCTCTAATTCCTTAGTAAGAGCGGAAATTAGAAAGAACAATAAATTCATTACTATTCCTAATATTACTCTAACCTCGATTGTTTCTAATCGGTGCTTTTGGACCTAGAGCATTAGAATTTTTCAAGGCACTCGGCCAAAAGATGCGCTTAATTTCCTGGAAGGTTTTTCCTACGCCAACGAATCTCAATGGAAATTTGTAGGTCGCATAGTACATCAATCCATGGCGCCTAACATAGATACACCTTCTCATGTTCCTTCTCTTTTTTTAAAAATTACGTTATGGTACTTTATTACCTTATTTTAAAAAATAAATATAAATAATATAGATTTTATATTTTTATAGTTATAATTAGCTTATAAATTGGGATTTTATTCAAATTATAAATATGTATATTAGAAACCTTTTAATAAAAATAATTTCACTTCAAAAAAAAAATTTTGATTAATTTATAATTAATTATTTTTATTAGTATTTAATAAAGTATATAGAATCTATATTTAAAATTATTTCTTTTCACTATTATTATTATATATATACAAATATATTTTATTCCTATTATTACTTTTGTAAACTTATTAATTTGATTGCTCATTTGTTTTATTTAATTAATTTTTTTTTTTCAAAATTTCGCATTTATTAATTATATTTTATCATATTTATTTAAAATATTGAAAAATATAACTATTTGGTTTTATTAAAGGAATATAAATGGCATACATAAAATATATTTATCCGTTAGAGGGCGCGATAAATTGAAAAGAAATTTTTTTTAAATAAAATCTATAAAGATAATTTTATATATTTATTATTTATATCAAATATTTATATTAGCCTATCCAAAAAAATGAATTCCAAAATTCTAACAAAAAATAATTGACCAAACAAAATTAGTTTTAATTCAAGAATAATTCTCAATACAAAGTTTGAAAAACACTCCATTTTTATATCTATATAAATGAGCTTCAGTGTCCATTCGTTGATATATATAGTATTTTATGAATGCGTTTCTTTTTTACAAAAGTTCTGTTTAGCCTCATTTTATTAGGGAACGTTGGCACCTATTTTATCATTCTAAGTGTGTCAATATAATCATCGATTGGTCAACTTCTTTTGATTGTGTTCTAATTGTTTTTAATATTTTTTTTATTAAAATCTAATTAGAGTGAAAATTAGGCAAACAGAGCGGCACTCCTTTATATGATTTATTAAAGAAAGGCAACAATTTCCGATGGAGCGAAGATTGAGGATCAAGTGTTAAAATCTTAAAGAAATGTTTGACTAATCCTCCAGTAATCGTTCATTTTGATCCAGGTAAGGATATCCAACTCACTGCTCATCCATTTCCCATGATGTAAAAGTAGGTAAGTGGAACAGATTGAGATATTATTTGAAAAGAATTAACAATAGGAATGACCAGGGTCAACCCTGAAGTGGCAAACCTTAATAAAACTAATGTCAATTTTTAATCGAGAACATGGTTAGGTGAACGTTCCAGACCACTTAGGGAAATGGAACATGGGAAAAATTATAAAACTACCGGAAAGGGTACGGTGAATCTGGAAGGTATATAAAATTTTTTAATCCAAAGAAGTGGCGATTGTAATGAAGTCTTCTATTTCAAAAAGCCAATACGATTGCTATTCATAAAAGTAATCGCAATACGTTTGTCTTTGTCCCATGGGATGAGTGTACACATATTCGGTCGAGTGTTGATCAATGAAGAATCACGCACTAGCTTAATGAGATTTTCTACTCCATGAAATGCT